CGGCTCGAGCAAAGTGATCACAAGCAATCCGACCCGATCAGATCAGAGCCGATCAGACCCGATTGGGCCCACGTCCTTACTCAGGTATTCAGATAGAACAAAACCCCCAAATCTGGTTTTACATACAAACCGGTAGTGCTACACCCTCTTTTGCGCTAGTAGAGTATCTGGTTGCAGGACATACACGGGTTGTAGAACGTCACCACGTTCAGAACGGTCTTGTCACCTACTGTACAAGCACAATGCGAAGAATGCGGTTAGGTGAGGTGATGCACTTTACAAACAGCTTTGTCAACGTTTTCATTTGGTTGGGAAGGGTATACAGTGATCACGGAAAATTTACGCCCTTAAGCCAGTTTGTCACGTGGTTCGGCTTTTCCCCCCAATTTGCCAGGAACGCTTAATGGCACCAAATCGCAAGAGACACGTTTTTTTTTTTTTTTTTTTTAAGCAATGATACACTATGGAGAGTATACAAAGCATTGGCAGTCGTAACTGTGTTCTTTTAGGGAAGTGCCACAGTACCGGGGACTGCAGATTCCCTGCGATAGACCTACGGCGGCTGGTGAGTCAGCTTCGGGTTGTTCCAGACAGCGCCGAAACTGCCATTCCATGTTAACGGTGACGCCTTGCTGCAGATTCTCCTCATCACCACCGCCTTGTCAGCTTCCAGAAATGCCCACTCGTCACTGCCACCCGACGTGCCCCGCTTCTTCGCAGCTACTTGCTTGGCTAGACAGTACACTCTCGCATGTGCGACGAACTTGACCACCGCCTGGCGCATCACCTTCTTCGGCTGGAACCTGATGTCATGGTTGATTGCGTCACATCTTGCCAACCACACCTGATGGAGTGTGGTGGCAATGAAGGAGCTCTCCGGAAAACCGGACTGCGTGCTCCGCTGCATGAAGAGCAAGTCCTCGAGCCCCTGCCAGCCATGCCGTGGGCTCATAGCTGCAAGTCCTTCCCGTAAGAATTTTGCCACTCTCTGGATTGCCGGGCAGCCGAGCAGGCAGTGCTCCGGTGTCTCCTCACCACCATAGTGCGGACATACCACTTTATTCCTCATGAAGAAAAGTCGCTCCCCGACCTGTAGATTCCTACAGTGTAATCGAAGCAAAATTTCCCTTGCCCGGGCAGGTGTGGCAAGAGAGTCTCTCTCCTTGATGACCCTCTTCCACTCAATGACCCTTCCATCTCCAATCCACCTCCTCTGCTCCCTTACGGTGCCAGCCGAGCTAACTAGGGTTTTCCTGATTTCCTTCAACGGCAGCACCTCCCCTTCCTCACACAGCTTCGATTGAAGCAGTCTCGTCCTCGCCTCCCCCATCGGTCCCAATACCTTGTTGCCTCGAGTAGCCAGCGGCTCACCATGCTGAAGGCCGAAACTGACCGTCAGGTTATCACCTTCGCACTGCGTGAAGGACCCGTCGCCTTCTACCGCGCACAGCTTTCTGACTACCTTATCTCCCTCCGTGCCGCTGACCTTCCACGTCGTGTGTTTCGCTGGCGCCCTGCCGGGGTATCGCAGGAGCGGGACTTTGGCGGCGACTTCCCCACTCGTCAGCTTCTCCAGGATCAGGTTTCTCCATTCAGCCGGTGCTGCCGCGAAAGCTTTCAGCGCCATCTTCGCCGCAACTTTGCTACCAAGCTCCCTTGTCAGCACCTCCTCGCTTTTGAGGGCCCGCTCTCCGCTACTCATCTGCTGCACAAGGTCACCCATCGTCAGCTCCAGGAGACAGCCGGTGTCTCCAGCAAGAGACAAGTACTGTAACGACGAGTCGCGCAACGTGAAAAGGATGAGAAAGAGGGTGTACAACAATGAGTGGAATATCCCAGCGGAAACGGGTCGTCAAGCCTGACGACCCTCTGACGACCTGACGACATGCTGCCCCGGGCAGAAAAAACTAAAACCCTATCGGATGGCATGCCATCCGAGGGAGGCATCAACCCTAAACACCATGCCTCCCCGTGTTTAGAGTTGATGCCTCCCTGACCGGATGCATGCCCGAATGGGTTTAATTTGTTTTGCCCGCGGGCAGCGAGCTCCCCCGGGCGGACTCGCTTGTCCGCTGAGATATATTAACCGGTAACTAGAGCAGGGGGAGAGAAAACGCAAGCCTTGACCCAAAATGACTCTGATTCGGAATCACCTTCAAATCAGTGAAGTATCGATTGGAGCACGCGACAGACGACGGTCGTTTCTGCTTCCAACCCCTCCATACCCGCCCTTACCCATACAAAAGCGTGTTTGCTTCCTCGCGATTTTCTCCCACTACGGCTGAGAGAGAGTCTTGCTGTAGACAAAATTTTAACCCTGCAACTTCAGACATCCCGAAACAAACACCCTGGTTGACGAAGCTGCGGGTGAAGGTACAGTAGGTCACAACACAGGTCTGATCTGGCAGGTTACCCCGGCTGGCAGGTCCGACCTGCCAGGGTGCACCAAAATAAATCGAGCCTGCTCCCACCAACCTTGTTACAGGAGCGGAGTCCTCAAAATCTATCCAGCGGAGTCTAGTAGCCTTGTCTTGTCAGGCGAAGTCTCTCAACCTTGTCCTGACCTGACAAGTCTACCAAACTTGTCCCATTCACTCCTTGTTTTCGCAACCGAACCGCCCTCCGCAATATATTAGACTACTTAGAAGCTATCAATGACAATTCAGCAGGAGTCTCGCTGTTCCCCACCATGGCAAGAATCCTCAATTCCCTGCTGCTCGCTCTCTCGGTCGCAATGCTCGTCTGCCTTTGGACAGTCCCACCCGCATTCGCCGGCCCGGTGCGCCGCGTCGCTCGTATGCGACAGCTGAGCGGCCGCGAGCGAAAGCTGATCCACGTCGTCGACCCGCGCGGCGACTCTCGGCCTCTGCAGATGCTCGGAACGATAGCCAGCTTCGACACGAAGCGACGCGACAGACGCGGCAAACAGGGACTCGCGGCGTCGTCCGTCACGGAAACGACGGTCGTTCCCATCGAATACCACGGCGGCCGCGTGATGAGCGGCGCGACGCTGAATGTGTACATAATTTACTATGGCACCTGGGCAGCAAAAGCGGGACAGAATATAATTGAGAATTTTATCTCGTCACTGAGTCTGGGAAGCGCCAATAAACAGGGTGCAGCCGGGGATCCCAAAGTGAGCTACTGGTGGGCGACCAATTCAAAATACTACTCGGAGGCGACCAATGGAACAAAGGCCTTGGTCAGCACGAAGGTATGACATGTTTTTTCAAAATGAAACTGTACGTTCAGCACGACAGGTGGGGCATCGGACAAGCTACGGTACCTCACTAAAAAGGAATATTAAAAACAAAGAAAGCAACAATTGTGAACCACGAAACGGCTGTAATATACAGAATTCTTTAGCGGCGGTTTTCATGAAGTTAAACAGTCCAACTCCACCCCCTGCCGCCTTTCCCAGGTGAAAGTCGCGAAGGTAATCCGAGACAAAGGATCTCTGGGGACGAAACTCAGTTACGACACTGCCTTTGAAGGTATGTGTGCCTCTTCAGCAGATATGCTTGCCTTCTTACTAACCGCTCGCCCCTTACAGCACTAAATCTAAGAGTTGTCACAACACGTGCATTTTTTTTTTTTTTTTTTTTATTGTGGCACAGTTGTTCAGAGCAAGATCGGCCGCAAGTAGCCGTTTCCCTACGACGCCAATGGTATCTACCTGATTCTTGCAAGCAAGAACGTCGAAGCCGCTGACTATTGCGTGAATTACTGCTCAATCCACTCGGTGGAATATCTCAAGCCGAACTCCACGTCGGACCCTGTCGTGTTTGCACTACTGGGTCATCCCGATAGATGCCAGGATTGCATGCCGTATTTTGAGGGAGAGCCGACGCCAAACGGGAACCCCGGGATCGACTCAATGATAGCCACGCTCGCTAACGCGATCGCGGTAGCTGCAACGGATCCCGACTGCTCCACCGGCTGGCTCGACGCTGAGGGACACGAAAGCGTCGGTAAGTGCCTAGTACCAGGATCTGATCCTCTTGGACCCCTTCTTACGGCCAAGAATGCTAAGCGTCAGGAATTTGTGTACAACCTCGTGGGGCTCAACAAGATGAAGTTCCTGGTTCCGATGAACTGGGACCTTTCGACCAACACGTGCGTCATGCAGACGATTCCCCCTAAAACCGCTACTACGACTAATACCGGATAGGCGATGCAATGATGGCCCGTTTGTTGTGAGTGACTTGTGAAGCTGTTGTGAAGGTGACGGGAAGAAATGGAGAACTCGGTCGAAAGGGAGCGGTGGGAGGGAAGTACAGTGGAGAGGAGAGCCCTGTACGTTTACTTGTACGCGTTTGCGTTCTAGCCCAACCAGCGCGATAAGCGCCTGTGGTCGTTTTGAAACGGTGTTGTGGAATATGGCTTGCATTTGTTTGTCTTTATGATTTATTTAATTATTTGTGTTTCAAAATATTGGTGTTCAGCACACATGCATCCAGCAAATGATTAGATACTGCAGTTTTACTGCCTCCCTCTGTCTTCACTGGACAGTGGATACCTCAGCTTTGCCTCATTAAGACTGTTCAACTTTCAGGAATGCCGTTTGGGCACATCAAAACTATGTGTAGAACAAATGCTCACATCACATGGAAGAGTCAGCTCAGCTATACCACTGCTACTGCCTTGGCGCAATCCTGCAAGAATCGACAGGCGGGGAGGGAGGGAGATGGCAAAGGCAGCAATAACACGTGAATCACTGAGCACTTGTGCGCGCAATCTGCAGCAGTTGGGTTTAGCGGATGACCAAAACTAGAAGGATATGATCAAATGACGTTGAAGTGCACTTGAGAAAGAGAGGCAGACTCTCGTGCTTTTGACTTAGAGTCAACTCAAAAGCAGCTTGACTTGACACGACTAGCTTCAGCCGCCCCCACCACAGGAGCCATGGCTGGCCGCTGCTGGGACTTGTCTTGACACGACCAATGCACGACTTAAAAGAGAAAGCAATCAGGCTAAAATGCATCAGAGAAAAAGCAGACTCACGTGCGTTTGACCACTCGAAGTGTCTCCTCCAGAGCTTCAGCAGCCCCAACCACAGGAGCCATGGCTGCTGCTGGAATGCCTTTCACCACCGCTGCTGCCACTGCAGGCATTCCGTCCCCTCGCCTCCACCTCCTTAGCGGAGCACCTAATAACGAGGACAGGCTTCTTTCCACACTACGGTTCAGCACCTCTTGAGCTGCTGCCAAGGCTCCTACAGAAGAACAGCCACTGCCACTACCAATACCACTGCCAAAGCCACCGCCAATACCGCTGCTGCTGCCACAGCCACCGCCACTGCCGCTGCTGCTGCTGCCGCTGCCGCTGCCGCTGCTGCTGCTGCCGCTGCCACTGTCAGCAAACACAGTGACCCAGTGTGAGCCTTCCTCGAAGCTTCCATGCTCCCCAAGCTCCCGCCAGTCACAGGGTGTCTTATCTCGGCGGCTGCTGCTTGCACGGGCGGATGGTGAGGAAGCTGAGGAGGAATAGAAAGAGAACGAACGAGAGGAGGAGGAGCAAGAGGAGGACGAGAAAGTGCAGGATGCAGAGGGAGTGGAAGAAGAGGAAAGGGGATTTGTGGAGGGAGGACGATTACTGGCTGTAGCAGCTGTAACAACTGCAGCTGATGCTACAAGAGCAGCTCGACCAGCTGTAGCATCTGTAGCAGCGTTTGTAGCACTGGCTGTAGCAGCGTTTGTAGCGCCGGCTGTAGCAACCAGGGCGAGCTCTGCTGCGTGCAGCAGGTGGTGTGTGCCGGCTGCTACTGTCACTCCCACGCCCAGCAGCTCGTGGGAGAGCGACTGGAGGAAATAGATGGCACCTGTTACAGGAGGAAGTAGAAGGACACACGGGCAAGGAGGGGGGAAGTTGTTACAGGAGGAGGGGAAATAGATGACACCTGTTACAGAAGGAAGCAACTTAAGGAAACGAAACGAGACGAAACAAAATGGGAAAAAAAAAAAAACAAAAAAAACAAACAAACAAACAAACAAACAAACAAACCAGAAATTCAATGCTCGCAGGAGGCTGACAGGCCAGGAGGCTGACAGGCCAGGGCCAGAAAAGAATCCAGAAATTCAATGCCCGCAGCAACAGGCCAGGGCCGGTTGCTTTTGCACACTCCAGTGATGTGAGCACACAGAGTCTCTTTCCTGTGCTGGCTCTTGTTTTTTTTTTTTTTTTTTTTTTTTTTTTTTTTTTTTTTTTTCCTCAAGAATTCTCAGTTACCACCAACTTGTGATATGAACAATGAAGAGCCTCTTCCCCGCGCTTCCCCTCACCTCTCTTCACTCCTCGCATCAGCCTCTTGTTCTGCCGGTACTCCTGAACCGGCAGCAGCACCAGCTGCAGGGAAGCAGCACCCAGGGCCCACAGGGGATTGACAGGCCCGGCTGCTTTCACCACCCGATGCAGCTGGCGCCGACAAATGTCCTCCGCCCATTGGCTGATGAGTGCCCCTCCCAATCCGTCCCACCCCTGCACGCCCACCACCCTGGCTTTGGTGAAGTCGATCTCAACACCCTGTGATGTTCCAAAGGGAAAAAGGGACGAAACAGAGGGAGGAAGAGGAGAATTTTAGCCATTGGCCAATGAGTGCTCCCCCTAGCCCGTCCCACCCCTGCACGCCCACCACCCTCGCTTTTGTGAAATCAATTTCAACACCCTGCCATGGGGATGCAAGGGGTAAGCGAAGAGTACGTGAGTGGGTGGGGCTGACAGGCCCGGCTGCTTTCACCACCCGGTGCAGCTGGCGCCGACAGATGTCCTCCGCCCATTGGCTGTGAGTGCTCCCCCTAACCCATCCCACCCCTGCACGCCCACCACTCTCGCCTTGGTGAAATCGATTTCGACACCCTGGCATAGGAATGAGGGGTTTCCAGGGGAGGCACAGAGAAGGTGCACGGGGGAGGGAGGGTAAAAGCTGTGTCCTGTCCTCCGCCCATTGGCTGATGAGTGCTCCCCCTAGCCCGTCCCACCCCTGCACGCCCACCACCCTTGCATTTGTAAAGTCAGTTCAACGCCCTGCCATGGGGATGGGATGAGGGGAGAAAGAAGCTGTGTACTCCGCCCATGGGCTGATGAGTGCTCCCCCTAGCCCGTCCCACCCCTGCACGCCCACCACTCTCGCCTTGGTGAAATCGATTTCGACACCCTGGCATAGGAATGAGGGGTTTACAGGGGAGGCACAGAGAAGGTGCACGGGGGAGGGAGGGTAAAAGCTGTGTCCTGTCCTCCGCCCATTGGCTGATGAGTGCTCCCCCTAGCCCGTCCCACCCCTGCACGCCCACCACCCTTGCTTTTGTAAAGTCAGTTCAACGCCCTGCCATGGGGATGAGGGGGACAGATAAGATCAGATTACGTGAGTGAGTGGCAGGCCCGTCTGAGTGAGTGACTGGGTGGGGCTGACGGGTCCTGCTGCTTTCACCACCCGGTGCAGCTGGCGCCGACAGATGTCCTCCGCCCATTGGGCGATGAGTGCCCCTCCCAGTCCGTCCCACCCCTGCACGCCCACCACTCTCGCCTTGGTGAAATCGATCTCTTTGTTCTGCCATGGAATTAAGAAGGACCAGTGGCAGAGCGAGCGACTTTTGAGTCGACTCAAAAGTCAACCCACCACTCTCGCCTTGGTGAAATCGATCTCTATGTTCCGCCATGGAATCAAGAAGGGACCAGTGGCAGAGCGAGCGGAAGGGGATTTTGGCTGGCATTAAACTATGGTGGAAAGGAAGGTTGAGGGTAAGCCTACACCCGCGCACGTACATTCAAAAACACATGTCACAGTTGAGGCAACTTTTCACGTGATAAAAAGTGCATTTTTGAGACGTCTCGCACACGTACATTAAACTACACTTTTATCACCTGAAGGTTCAGGGCATACCTACACCCGCGCGCGCACGTACATTCACAAACACATGTCACAGTTGAGGCAACTTCTCTCTTTAGAGGCACCTCAAAAGCACGTGCATTTGAAGGCACGTGCACACGCACGCACGCACATGCATGCACCCACGCACGCACATGCATGCACACACACATACGCACACGCACACGCACACGCACACGCACCTTCCAGAAAATGAGGTTGAGCAGGTGAGCGTAGTTGCCGGCAGTGATGGCTTTGAAACGCCTCTCTCAACACACGTACAATCACACCCACGCACGCACCCACTCACCCACCCACACACACACCTTCCATGAGATGAGGTTGAGCAGGTGCGCGTAGTTGCCGGAAGAAAGGGCTGATAGGTCCTAGCGTCAAATGCACCCGCTCACGCACCCACCCACCCACACGCGCACGAACGCACTCACGCACGCGCGCACGCACATGCATGCACCCACCTTCCATGAGATGAGGTTGAGCAGGTGCGCGTAGTTGCCAGCAGAAAGGGCTGAGAGGTCCAAGCGACGCGGCACGTAGTCGATGAGGATGGAGAAGGCCCGAATCTCACACACCTGGAAATAAGGCATGGGACGGGAAGGGGAGCAGGGAAGAGAAAAGTCAACGTGAATCTGATTGCTTCGTAAGGAGTTGAGCCGGGGGGGGGGGGTGCAGTTGCTGGCAAGAGCTGACAGGTCCAAGCGGCGAGGCACATAGTCAATCAGGATGGAAAAGTACCGAATCTCAGACACCTGGGGAGGAGAGAGTGGGGGCGGGATGGGGAGAAAAAATGTCAACTGACTGAGATTGCTTTTGAGGGGTTGAGAATGCAAGTGAAGTTCCAGAAGAGAGAGCTCATAAATCCAACCCTAAACACGGATGGGAAGTAGCATGCAACAGCCTGAGCTCACTTTCTGGTCGGCCGCCATGACGGGGAAGGGAAGCGGCTACAGGCTAAGGGACGTGAATGTGGGAGAAGGCGCAGAGCTGGGAAAAAAATGGAAAGGTAAACGAGATGCCGAAAATGAGGAGCGACGCCCCCTTCCACCAAGAAAAGGGGGTCGGTGCACGAGGTGCCTGGCTCGGCAGGGTTTGGCGGGCTCGTGCACAAGTGGCACAAGTTCTCATTCGCCGCCGAGCCAGCAAGTCGATGTCACGTCCCCTGGCCTCGGTCGGCCATGGGACGCAAATTCGCATGCACGCGGGGCATCCGACACGTGTCGACTTCGCACCGGATCGCGAAAAATGTGCGCCGCGAAGCGAACGAAATCGAATTCGCAACGTCCGAAATTCTGCATGTACCCGATGTGAACTCACGGGCGAACACGTGGCGTCACCGCATCGGATCGCAAAATTGTCGATCGTCCCGAGGGGTGCACCCGAATTTTGCCGGGCCCTCGCCTGCCCGGCCGGGCAGGTCGCGAGGGTTACTAGGCCTTCGCGGGCAACATGAACGCGAGGGCTGCTTTCGCGCGAGGGTTACTTTCCCTCGCGCGAGGGGTCGCCAGCTCGCCGACCCCACCCGGTAACGTGGGGCGCTGTTCACTTTCGGAGGGCATGGGGTTGCTGAGCGCCGCATAGGCTTGGTCATGGAGATCGCCCGCACCTCCTTGACTCACGCCCGTGCCCCCCATTTTCTGTGGCCCTACGCGGTTAGGTACGCCGCTCACCAGCTGAACCTCTCGCCACGTGTCTCTCGGCCAGAGGCTTCACCGACCAGTCTTTGGACCGGGTCCCCTGGTGTTGCGTCGAGGTTTCGTGTCTGGGGTTGCTTGGCTCTTGTCCGCGACACTTCCGCGGACAAGCTCTCGCCTCGCGCCGTTCCCTGTGTCCTCCTTGGTTTCCCTGAGGACTCCTCTGACTTCACCTTTTACCACCCTCCCTCTCACCGGTTCTTTGACTCTCGTGACGTCCGTTTCGAGGAGTCCACCCCCTACTACGTCAGGTACCCCAGTCGAGGTCTCCCGGATGGGACGGACGGACGGGACGGGACGGGACGGACGGACGGGACGGACGGACGGGACAGGACGGGACGGGACGGACGGACGGGACGGACGGACAGGACGGGACGGACGGAAGGGACGGACGGACGGGACGGGACGGGACGGGACGGACGGACGGGACGGACGGACGGGACGGGACGGGACTGAAGGCGCGACGCGGACAGGCAGCGCGACGCGGACGGACGGGACGGGACTGAAGGCGCGACGCGGACGGGCAGCGTGGCGCGGACGGACGGCGCAGCGGGCGCTAGGGCACGAGAGGGACGTAACGGCAGGCGCAGCGGGCGCTAGGGCACGAGAGGGACGTAACGGCAGGCGCAGCGGGCGCGAGGGCACGAGAGCGACGTAACGGCAGGCGCGATAGGCGCTAGGGCACAGTACGAGCGTAACGGGCACTAGGGTACGGGACAGGCTCGGGCGCTACGGACGTGAACGAGAGGAACGGGATCCCACAGGATCCTAACCTAGGTGATAGCATGTCAAAAATGAAAGTTTTGTTCATTGATGTGGGTTGGGGTACATATAACAAACCCTAACATCTCTACCCCCTAAGACAAACCTCACTAAGGCTACAACATTTGACACACTAATAGGTACGACAAATTGACATGCGAATGTTGGATGTTTATAATTATATACGGTACTAAATTTTGATCCATGGAGTAGAGTGAGACCATTGACCTCCTACAAAGTGCAACTATCTATCGTAGTAAAAAAATAACAAAGTTAGTCCATGTACTGTAATGTCTTTTCCACTCTTGTCTGCATATACAGTGCCACCACGCTGGCCGCTGCCTGGCGTGCCCTGATGGCATGCGCCTTGCGCACGTTGAGGGTGTGAGAGAGGCGAGGAGTGTGAGAGGCGAGGAGTGTGAGAGAGGCGAGGAGTGTGAGAGAGGCGAGGAGTGTGAGAGAGGTGAGGAGCGTGAGAGAGGCGAGGAGTGTGAGAGAGGCGAGGAGTGTGAGAGAGGTGAGGAGTGTGAGAGAGGCGAGGAGGGTGAGAGAGGCGAGGAGTGTGAAAGAGGTGAGGAGCGTGAGAGGCGCGAGGAGTGTGGGAGAGGCGAGGAGTGTGAGAGAGGCGAGGAGTGTGAGAGAGGCGAGGAGTGTGAGAGAGGCGAGGAGTGTGAGAGAGGCGAGGAGTGTGAGAGAAGCGAGGAGCGTGAGAGAGGCGAGGAGCGTGAGAGAGGCGAGGAGCGTCAGAGAGGCGAGGAGTGTGAGAAAGGTGAGGAGCGTGAGAGGCGAGGAGTGTGAGAGAGGCGAGGAGTGTGAGAGAGGCGAGGAGTGTGAGAGAGGCGAGGAGTGTGAAAGAGGTGAGGAGCGTGAGAGAGGCGAGGAGTGTAAGAGAGGTGAGGAGTGTGAGGGAGGTGAGGAGCATGAGAGAGGCAAGGAGTGTGAGAGAGGCGAGTGTGAGAGAGGCGAGGAGTGTGAGAGAGGTGAGGAGTGTGAAAGAGGTGAGGAGCATGAGAGAGGCGAGGAGTGTGAGAGAGGTGAGGACTGTGAGGGAGGTGAGGAGCATGAGAGAGGCGAGGAGTGTGAGAGAGGCGAGGAGTGTGAGAGAGGCGAGGAGTGTGAAAGAGGTGAGGAGCGTGAGAGAGGCGACGAGTGTGAGAGAGGCGAGGAGTGTGAGAGAGGCGAGGAGTGTGAGAGAGGTGAGGAGTGCGAGAGAGGCGAGGAGTGTGAGAGAGGTGAGGAGCGTGAGAGAGGTGAGGAGTGTGAGAGAGGCGAGGAGTGTGAGAGAGGCGAGGAGTGTGAGAGTGGCGAGGAGTGTGAGAGAGGCGAGGAGTGTGAGAGAGGCGAGGAGTGTGAGAGAGGCGAGGAGTGTGAGAGAGGCGAGGAGCGTGAGAGAGGCGAGGAGCGTGAGAGAGGCGAGGAGTGAGAGAGGCGAGGAGTGTGAGAGAGGCGAGGAGTGTGAGAGAGGCGAGGAGCGTGAGAGAGGCGAGGAGCGTGAGAGAGGCGAGGAGTGTGAGAGAGGCGAGGAGTGTGAGAGAGGCGAGGAGTGTGAGAGAGGCGAGGAGCGTGAGAGAGGCGAGGAGCGTGAGAGAGGCGAGGAGCGTCAGAGAGGCGAGGAGTGTGAGAAAGGTGAGGAGCGTGAGAGGCGAGGAGTGTGAGAGAGGCGAGGAGTGTGAGAGAGGCGAGGAGTGTGAGAGAGGCGAGGAGTGTGAGAGAGGTGAGGAGTGTGAGAGAGGTGAGGAGTGTGAGAGAGGTGAGGAGTGTGAGAGAGGTGAGGAGTGTGAGAGAGGTGAGGAGTGTGAGAGAGGCGAGGAGTGTGAGAGAGGCGAGGAGTGTGAGAGAGGCGAGGAGTGTGAGAGAGGCGAGGAGTGTGAGATTGGCGAGGAGTGTGAGAGAGGCGAGGAGTGTGAGAAAGGTGAGGAGCGTGAGAGGCGAGGAGTGTGAGAGAGGCGAGGAGTGTGAGAGAGGCGAGGAGTGTGAAAGAGGTGAGGAGCGTGAGAGAGGCGAGGAGCGTGAGAGAGGTGAGGAGTGTGAGAGAGGTGAGGAGTGTGAGAGAGGTGAGGAGTGTGAGAGAGGTGAGGAGTGTGAGAGAGGCGAGGAGTGTGAGAGAGGCGAGGAGTGTGAGAGAGGCGAGGAGTGTGAGAGAGGCGAGGAGTGTGAGAGAGGCGAGGAGTGTGAGAGAGGCAAGGAGTGTGAGAGAGGCGAGGAGTGTGAGAGAGGCGAGGAGTGTAAGAGAGGCGAGGAGCGTGAGAGAGGCGAGGAGCGTCAGAGAGGCGAGGAGTGTGAGAAAGGTGAGGAGCGTGAGAGGCGAGGAGTGTGAGAGAGGCGAGGAGTGTGAGAGAGGCGAGGAGTGTGAAAGAGGTGAGGAGTGTGAGAGAGGCGAGGAGTGTGAGAGAGGCGAGGAGCGTGAGAGAGGTGAGGAGTGTGAGAGAGGTGAGGAGTGTGAGAGAGGTGAGGAGTGTGAGAGGTGAGGAGTGCGAGAGAGGCGAGGAGTGTGAGAGAGGCGAGGAGTGTGAGAGATGCGAGGAGTGTGAGAGAGGCGAGGAGTGTGAGAGAGGCGAGGAGTGTGAGAGAGGCGAGGAGTGTGAGAGAGGCGAGGAGTGTGAGAGAGGCGTGGAGTGTGTTCTCCCCAGGCTGAGGCGCCCTGCAGTGGCGGCGGCAAGGCTGTGAGGTGCGCTCCGCATGGCATACACACTTGCCAGCATTGGTGAGGGAAGGGCGCGATGGGGTGTGAGGAAGAGAGGAGAAGGAGTGCAGCGTACTGAAGTGATAGAGAGAGAATGGCGAGGGACAAATAAATGAGAGCAAGTGTCCGGGTGATCCGCAAGGAAGCTTTGAGAATGGCCTTGACAGGGTGATGGGCATCCCGGCACCACCCACCTCGCCTGCTCCACCCGTGGATCTGCGCTGCCCTTGTGCCTCCCTCCTCCACTGTGTGGCTCGGCAAGGAGAGGCACGGCAAGGAGAGGCAAGGCGAGGCGAGGGAAGGTGGTGGGCAGCTGCAGAGGCTCGAGCTGCTGTGGCACCCGCAGCGCTGCCAGTGGCCCCCTCAGCGCCTCCTCTCTTGCTCGCCCGTCCCCCTCCATCTCCGGCAGCAGCTTGGATGACAGCATGATTGGCAGCACTGGGGGACAGGAGGTGGTGAGCCAGGAAGGGAGACGGGAAGGAGGAGAGACAAGAAGGGGGAGGGAAGTGAAAGGGAGCGATGGGTTGGAAGGGAAGGGTTGGAAGGGAAGGGCTGGAAGGGAAGGGTTGGAAGGGAAGGGCTGGAATGAGGCGACTGACCTCGTGAGAGAAGCTCCGGTTCTAATTGTGCGCCGCTAGGTATTCACAAGCCTCCCCTCGCCCGCCCTCACTCGCACTCGCAGCAGCGGAGTTGCGCTGGCTAAAAGGGCATGAGACGGGAGGGCGGGCGAGGGAACGGTGGGGAAGTCGAAACACGCGGTGGGAAGTGCAGGGAAGGGGAGGGAAGGGCAGGGAAGGGGAGGGAAGGGCAGGGAGCAGGGAAAGGGGGAGATTGGGTCAGAAGGGGAGGAAATGGCAGGGAAGGCATGAGAGAATTAACCATGGAGATTCAAAGGTAGGGTAATGGAAATTAAGTTGTTCGAGGGGAAAAGAGGCGATGAGGGTTGAGGGTTGAGAGTGGGGTAATGGAAAGCAGGGGCTTATGAGGAAGGGTGCGTGGGGAGGCGTGGCGAGTGTGAGAGGGTGGGCGGACCTCGTGATGAGGCCCGCAGGCGAGCGCGGAGTGAGCAGGGGGATGAGGGTGGGCATGGAGAAAGGGAGTCAGGGGGGAACAGAGTGAACAGGGGGGGAGAGGGTGAGCAGGGGGGAACACAGTGAACAGGGGGGAACAGAGTGAACAGGGGGGGAGAGGGTGAGCAGGGGGGAACACAGTGAACAGGGGGGAACAGAGTGAACAGGAGGGAACAGAGTGAACAGGGGGGAACAGAGTGAACAGGGGGGAACAGAGTGAACAGGGGGGGAGAGGGTGAGCAGGGGGGAACACAGTGAACAGGGGGGAACAGAGTGAACAGGGGGGGAGAGGGTGAGCAGGGGGGAACACAGTGAACAGGGGGGAACAGAGTGAACAGGGGAGAACAGAGTGAACAGGGGGGAACAGAGTGAACAGGGGGGAACAGAGTGAACAGGGGGGAACAGAGTGAACAGGGGGGAACAGAGTGAACAGGGGGGAACAGAGTGAACAGGGGGGAACAGAGTGAACAGGGGGGAACACAGTGAACAGGGGGGAACACAGTGAACAGGGGGGAACACAGTGAATAGGGGGGAACAGAGTGAACAGGGGGGAAGAGGGTGAGCAGGGGAAACAGAATGAGCAAGGGGGAACAGAGTGAACAGGGGGGCGAGGTGACGCCGACTTCGCAGGACTTCCCTCTGTATCTCGACCTGGGTAGTGAACTCACTTCCTATCTTGAGGAACACGACTACGCCGTCCTCGTAGACCATAGGCTAGAGTTCAACGCCCGTTGCTTGGGATTCGGCCTCAAGTGAGTGTCCGTATTGGGATGTCGGCGTTGACCTCTGGATACATTGCAGGTCGACATTGTTAGGGTTGTCCCACGTCTTGGTCGACGTTGTTAGGGTTTAGACCACTACTCGATGAGGCACACAGCCGTAGGTCGGTGTCGGCACCGGACTCCGATTACATTACTATAGTAGGTCGGTGCCTGCATCGGTCGGCGCCATTGATTACAACGCCGCGACGGTGGTGCCCCGTCGTACTATCGCCATCCCCGTCAGTTGTCGGTTCCAGAACCCACGTGTCCAACGTTGTGCCTTGCACCTCCTCACTCACCTCTACTACCCATGCATGCGTGCAGGCACGCATGGAGTCGCGCGGCGCCGGCCAACATGCGATTGTGGTCGATAGGAATCGGCGTGCTTCGGGCGGCGATGGGCCAGGAAGACCACTCATGCTTTGCTACGGTTTTCGACGCCGACGTAGCTGTTATCCCCCTGCATTCGAGGTGAGTCGGTTCGAAGTCATGATGGTGTGCCATGAACCCCATGTCGGTGCTACGTTCTGAACGACGTCGTGGTGCCTTGCCTGTGCAGCATCGCACCGCTTCCAGGAGCACATTGCAGCGTCGTGGTCATCCTGTACCCCGGCGACTTGTTGCGGGCCGGGGGGGAGACGATCAGGACCTCGGTCCGGCACTTTGACCCGCAGACCGTGAAGCAGTGGCACCGCGACGAGGCGATCCGCGTGCTGAAGTGAGCTCGATAGTGTGTAGTCGACGACGCAGGCAATTTCGCCGCTGAGCGTAAAGCAAACGTACTGACGAAATGTGCCATGTTGCTTCAGGTTTTTCCGGGCGGCGGTCCTGGCCGAGCTCGGCCGCGAGGGTAGGCAGTGGGAGTGGCCGAAGCCTTCTGATGATGAGGTGGCGGACAGGCTCGCCGACTGCGATGAACCCGTTCGAGATGTGAGTTCCGATCGTTTTACCGTCCTTGCGCGATGCCATTGCCGACTTCGGAATGATGCAGAATGTGTTGTATGCCCTGGACTGTTGTGTGCGGAAAGTGCGCGACACCGTCCGGGACAGCGACGCGGGCTCTGGCCTCCTATCAATGAGCGCGCTGTGATGGGTGGTGAAGAGGATGGATCGCCTGACCGGCGCCGACCGTCGAAGGGCGACCAGCATGGACAAGGTCCTCGTTTCGGGGTTGAAGGAGCTGCGGAATAGGATGATCACATTCATAAAGGAACACGTCGCTCGCAAACGGTCGGGCCATGTCGGACTGGCTGCCGACGCCTGTGACGACGACGCCGCGGAGCTCCCTTCGGCATCCCAAGCAGTCGGTGTCGCCGACACCAGCGGAGAGGCCGGAGGCGGCGTCGACAAGGCAGATGAAGAGGCAGGAAGGGCGGTGGCGCGGACCGCGGATCAGGAAGAGGAAGAGGAGGAGGAGGAGGATGGCACCGATGATCAGGATGATAACGAGGAGGAGCGTGAGGAGCGTGAGCAGGGGCAGGAGAAGGAAGAGGAGGAGGAGGAGGAGGAGGAGGAGGAGGAGGAGGAGGAGGAGGAGGAGGAGGAGGGGGAGGAGGGGGGGGGAGGAGGAGGAGGGGGAGGGGGAGGGGGAGGGGGAGGAGGCGGAGGAGGAGGAGAAGGTGAAGCTGAAAGAACGGAAGGGTCATGGCATCCGCCACGACACCACGGGCGACAAGCAAGGGTGGGTGGGCGAGATTAAGGTGGTCGGGAACGAGAGTCGATACATCGGCAAGTCACGCGACAAGATGGAGCTGGCGTACCTTCACTCGATTGTGTACCTCCTCTACGACGGTTACGTCAGCCCCATCCTCGTGGCCGAGCTCACCGGCTTGGAGGAAACCGTGATGAAGGAGTGGAGGTCGGTGTGGGAGGAGGTCAGGGTCTTGCCGACTGGGATGTGGACGGTGATATGGGCACGGGGCGCGTTCCTCCCAAAGATACGGTAAGTCGGATACACGTCGGCCAAGTGATGACGTCAACGTCGGGGTCTCTAATGGTCGTCCTGTTTCGTGTGTTTGCGTGACAGGTTCGATGAGATTCTCGGCGGGTATCGTGCGTACAAGACATCAGGCGATGCGCACCACGACGCGCTCTTGCCAGCGATCTGGTTCCCCGTCGATGCCGAGACGAAGGAAGGGCAGGAGAAGTCGGATGCAATGATGTCGGCCATGATAGCCCGCGTGTCCCTGTGCGCTGCATATGGGAAAGTCGCTGCTGCCGCGGCGAGGAAGGAGGGCGCCACGGATGCGACGACGGCGATGGTGGCACAGGCGCTATCGGCCTCCGCTTGCGCCCTGTGGTGCTTAGTCGAGGGCGACGCCGCCCAGGTGGCCGATGCTGTGCGCGAAGGGAAGGCGGCGGCGATGGTGGTCGGTGCGAGCGAGAAGACCGCCGATGAGTTCAAGAAGGTCATGAAGGCGGTGCTGGAGGCCGCGATCAGCAGGCAGCAACCCCTCGGGGAGGTTGCGCACAACGTCGCACCGTCGCTGCAGTCTACCGCTCTGGGGAGGGCCTATCCGGGGATGGATGTTGAAGTCGAAGCCGAAGTGATCGCACGAGCGATGGTGGAGACCATGGCGTTCTGGGGAATGTGCCCCGTGGATGGGCCGAAACTCAAGAAGATCGGCATCGCGGTGCCGCTTGACGCGCAGATGGCCTACGATATCGAACACAGGGGGAGGAAGGGGCAGAGGGGCAAGCAGGGCAAGGACAGCTCGGGGAAGAAGGGGAAGAAGGGCAGAGCGGGCAAGGACAGCACGGCGGCGTAGTCGGCATCACATGCTGCCATGGGCGGTCTGGTTGCTAGGGTGGCATGGTATGGGCGGCGTCGACTGTGTAGTTTTCGTTTTGTTTTATTTTCGTTGTGCTTGCTTTACGTTTGTGATTGTGTAGGTCTCTTGTTGGCTGTAACTTTTTGGTAGTGCATGTCAGCTTCGGGAGTGCATGTAACTTGTAGATAGTGCATGTGACTTTTTGGTTGTGCAGTCGGCGATGTCGACCTGAATCATGAATTGTACTTGGCGATGAGCCATGTCGGCGTTTATGTTGGAGTCCGATGTATGAAAGTATATGCGGGTAGTATGATGGGCGGCGACTGGCCGCATTTAGAATTGTTGTATCATACATGTTCGTGTTTAGGGTTCTCCGACTTCTAGAACGATATCAGCAGTACAGCACGTTAAAGTCGACCACTATTACAGCATCATCAAGGCGGGCAAACACACATGCACCGGGGGATCATTATGCCGATTTCTTGCGCTTCGTCGGAGGACGCTGCGCAGGTGCGGTCTGCTTGGCCAAGTCGGCCTCGGTCTTCGGCATCTGCTCCTCCCAGGTGTCTGGAAACAGGCGGGCGACCCAAGTCCTCGGCTTCAGCTCGAGCGCCACCAGCGCACAGGCAAGGCGTAGCTTCGAGACCACCTTGGGGGCAAGCCCCTTGACGCCCATGCCAGCCGCTTTGGACATCGTCGGTGCCGCTCCCGGGTTGAGCACCGTGAGGGCATCGCAGAAGGTCCCAATGCCTGGTGCCGCGATCTTGTTCAGTGCATCGACCACAGCTTCTGTGTCGGCATCGCCGTCGCTCGAGCGTAGCTGGCGCACCGCATCCATGGCCTTCAGCATGCGGCGCACCCTCATGTTGAGTGCACCCTGCGTCGCGCCTCTGAGGAGGGTGTGGCGGTCGATGAACCCCGGCTCGGCGACCCTGTCGCAAAGACGACGGGTGTCATTGGCGGTGGCGGAGTTCCAGAGGCGCCAAGCGTCCCGCACGGTCTTTGCCTCCCGCCAAGGTTGCACCACGTTGAGCTCGTAACTAGCCTCCTCTCCCGTCTGAGGGGGTGGCGGGGGTTTCGCATCCCCTCCCTTGGCTCCGGCTCCCGTGTTGGCCGAGTCCGCGGAGCCACCCTCGCTCGGAGCTTGCTCGGTCGCCGACGGCGGAGACTCCGGCACTCTCCGTGCGTCTGACACACGGAGTGCCTCGGCGAGTCGAGCAAGCTCGGCGGTGAGCGACGCGATGGTGTCGTTTTGCATCTCGATCTTCTCGTGAAGGTCGAGCTTCTCGAGCGCGGAGCGCTCTATCTCCTTCTTCAGCGCCTCCTTGAGGGACATGTTGTGATACTGGGTGTCCATGCGGACGGAGATTTCCTGCAATGGTATGAGGAAAGGCGACAAGAGTTCAGAATTCACCGGTATTTGAACCACCACGACAAAGTCGGCACCTCACCTCTGGCTAAATCTGTGTCGGGTCCCGGCGCTTTTTGATCGTCTCGGTGTCGACGGACTCGACCTTCTTCGCCCAGTGCTGGAAGAGGGCAATCCGGCAGAGCTTGGAACCTTGGACGTACGGGTGCCACGGTGTGCGGACGAGCTTCACCGCGAGGTCCTCGGCGACGATGCGTCGGAACATCAGGAGGGTGCGCAAGAAGTGCACAGCGGCTTTGTCGGCGTCGCTCCCGTTGACAGCACGAGTTTCCGCCTGCAAGTCGGCAAGTGGTGTGGGTTAGTAGGGTGTTGGGCAGCCAACTATGCCATGGCAACTGAATGACATTGTCGGCGTCGCTTAACATACATCGCGCAGCATAGCATCCACGCCGGGGAAGATGTGCTCGGCGAGGATGTCCTGGAGTTTTTTGGAAGGCGGGACCCTGCTGCGCCCCAAGAAGTAGTCTTGCTTGAATCCCGAGTAGCCGGCCTTCCGCATCACCACCCCCACGGGAATGGACGTGATGTACGCACGCGTCATCTTGTCGAGAGCCCAGTGTCCCAGCTCGGCGATCTCGGCGCGCGGCGTCCCATCGATGGCTAGCTCCTGCGCACCTCCGGCGCGGGCGGCGTGCACGTTCCTTTTGCAGAACACCTTGTTGGTCGTCCACATCTGCCGAGTCCAACGTTGGTGGCTGGCGGCGGGGAGCTCGTCTTGCTCCTTGTCGATTTTGGCGAAGAAGAGATGCTTCTTGTACCAGCGTTCGCGTTCAGTGGTGTCAAGCGGCGGAAGGAAGTCGACGCCGGAGAACTGACCGATCTGGTCGAGGATGAAGTGCAACCACAAGCCGGTCTCGTCGACGGCGCACAACTCTGCTTCCAGGTGTCGCACCGCGTAGCTCTGCTGAAGACGGGCATCCTTGGAAGTCTTAGAGTTACGCGCGGCGATCACCATGACGACAGGCTGGCTATCCGGGTTCACCGACGAGGTGCTCGCCAGTTGGTACAAGAAGACGTCGGGGAGCGTGATCTCGCGGATGCTGGCGCCGCGCAGGAGAGAGTGGTGGGAGAGTAGCGTGAGCACCTTGACGAGCAGGAATCTCCACAGCGTCTGCGACGGAGTGGTTGCCCGCGGGTTCCACGCCGCCGCCGCCCATGTCGGCAGCACCTTCATCATGATCTGGCGGAACTGTTCGGCGGTATAGGTATCGCCGATGGTGCCGCGTCGACGGTCGGCGCAATTCCTGAACACAAAGCCACAGGGTATAGTTAGTTGGTGCGGCGTCGACTTCAGCTTGACGAGGACTGAGGGTGGCGGTGTCGACCAACTTACTTGAGGTCCCTCTCGTTCTTGGTGCGGACGTTGAACCGCACCTCCGATCTGACCACCGAGATCTCCCTCATGATGCCCAGCTCCTTCTCCCGGTACAGCGTCGCCTCCACCCTCGCCGCCATCTGGCATGCCTTTATGCGCCCGAGGATCGTGTGCACCGTTGTCGATCCCACCGCCGTGGCCTCGTTCCCCTTCTCGGTATGGTCAACAATGAGGTTACACTCACGGCTCATCTGCTTCACGTACGCGCGCAGGCGGGTTTCGGTGACCCTAGGGCCGTGCAGCCAGATGTACCGTCGAGGGACCTCGGCCTCGTTGCACCAATCCTTTTTCTTGTTGGCGCGGATGTAGTGGCCGATCTCGTCGACGTGCCTAAGTCGGTGCTCATGGGGTAGCTTGTCGTGTATCAGCTTCAGCATCCTAGCCGCCCACTTCTTGTAGTGGTAGATGAACGAGGTGTACAGCCTGAGCGTGCTCTTTTTCTCCAAGGTTTGTAGGTGGCGTAGGGCGTCCACTGTTCGCGTGTCACCGCCATGTTCTGCTCGTCCTCCTTCTCGTCCTGTTCGAGCATGTCATGTATGTATTCATACTCCCGCCTAAGGCGTTCTTCCAAGGTGCGCGGATTCGTGCTACGCGGAGGACGCTCGTCGAATTCGTCGTCGCTCTCTTCCTCGTCGCCGTCGTCATCACCTTGGTTTTCCGCGCCTGCCGGCACCGACGAAGGTCCAGGCTGCCCATCCGGCCTCGGGGTCGACTTCTTCGTAAACTCCCCTATCGGCGGTTTCGGTATGTCCTTGGTGTACTCCCCTTCGAGAATCTGAGCCAGTTTGTCAAGATCGTATAGCAACTTCAGCGTCTCTTCGGCGGCAGAGGACGGATTGTGGTCGGTTGGGGCACCGACAGACGTCGGCCATGGACGCTCGTATGTTGCTCTACCTTCGGCCGTATGCGAGGTAAAGGTTGGACCACCAGAGACGGTATTGAATCACGGGTGCGGTGTACGCCCTATGCGTCGCGCGGTCGTCTTCGTCGAATTCTCTCTCGAGTGCTTCTATCTCAGCGGCGAGCTCGAGTCGTTCCAGCTGCACTTTGATGTCGGCGTCTACAGAATCGGCAGGGGGTGGGATGGGTTGCGGCTGTTGGGCACTAGGTCGTCCTCTGGCCATGCGTCGCCGACTCAGTTAGGTTCTGTAAACCCGCCTTGGCTGGTCGGTAAAGCTGTTGATTCTATGCCGACTTTACGATATGAATCCCTAAAACCTCCACGGCGACGTCGACGACCGAATGAGCCTAACTAAACACCGACCTGCTTCGTCTCAGCCGGGTCGACGCGAGTTGTACCGACGAAATCGTATGGTCGGCGCCGAGTAACATGTACGCGTGAAGATGTTGTGGGTCGCGTAAAAAAAACTAAGTGCCACAGAGCGCATGCAAAACGAGGGAATGAACAAAAACAGACTGGCAGAATGGGGACCTTGCGCCCGGTCAAGGAGGGGTATGGTTGCGAGCGACTCCGCACCTGACGCGCTCCACGCAGCCCTCTTTGCGTGCGCCGCTATGCCTGTGTCTGACGTGCCAACGTCTGTGCATGTCTAGAGTCACGCCGCTCTGCACTCATTGACCTCCCCGCCGGGGCCATTCCACGGTGGATTGCGCGCGCGCCACGTGGTCTCGTCCAACCACTTGTTCAACTCTCCTGAAATGCCGTATCGGCCTGCTTTCCCGCGCATCCGTTATCGACGTGTGCACTACAGCGTGTCATCTCGTTGATCGACGCCGACATTCCCTGGGTGTTGGATCTGTGGGCGACACCGACATTCCTTAACAAGGCGGGAAATTGATTCCCGCGATATCTGGATCCGTACTTGCTCGACACCTGTACGTACACTACCTAGTCCGGGTTCGCCGCGTGGACGTCGCCGACTTTTTATAATGGGCGCGGGATTTTCCCGCGCATAAAAAATGACCCGTGGTGTGACGCGTGGCCGCGACGTGGCCGTCGTGGCACCCCGCGATTATAAGGGACGGTAGTGATCGTCCCTGCTCGGCCGCGTGGCAGAAATCGCGGCTCGACGTGTCGAGCTGCGATTTCTTGTCCGCTGAGATATCCTTCTCGGGTTTCTCTCAGCGAAACCCGAGGTCGTCAGATTGTCGACATTCCCGAGGCCTCCTGTGGCCGGGAGGTCCCGGAGCTCGCCCCAGTTTGCCACCCTAGGTCGTCAGGAGTTCGTCAGTCCCGAGCCCCCCCCTTGTCCTATCGCAACCGCGAAATTGGGCGGGGGTTTCTGTCGGCTGAGGTATATCATCCCGACATGTGCTTCGTTGGCGTGCCCCATAAGTTGGTCTGCGCTGTTAACCACACCTAACCATGCTCATTCTTTATTATAACGTATACCACCTCATTCAGCCGCAATCACATTTGCGTGCGGTGAAACCCACTTCATTGAACTCTGCACTGCAGCACTGTGATCAGGCTGGCCAATCGGGGCGGCAGCCCCACCCCCAGATTGCGCGTCTACTGTACACAGTACAAAGTACTGTATCAGAGTAAGGCAATCTGTACTGTACATACACACGTTGATTTGTTGCCCCATGAAACATGCATCCCTGCCCCCGATTTCACATTTCACTCTTGAGAGGTTCACCCTTCCATGCTTAGGAGATTTCAGGGGTACGGAGATATTCCTGGTGGTTTCTCGTGGGCCTGTTTTAGGGCCTGAAAATATGGCACCCCGGTTCCTTACATGTCAGTTTCAGTGTTCTCCGTCCCCAGTGCTTGCCTCCCTCGATCGCACTCCTCACCTCTCCTCCCCCACCCCCACCCCAACCACAGACATCCCTTTTTCCCTATGTCCTAGATGATACTTCCTGTACGACTAGCGTTTTATTAGGATCTGCAATTTCGTTACTGTTAGGCTGTCGTACATGTAAAGGAGTCTAACTCAGGGCAGAGCGCAGACTGGCCACTAACCCTGGCTTCACGTCACTAACCCTGTGACATGCAGGGTTATTTTTTCGCCTGACCCCTTGATTCGTTCGGGTGGTCCCCAGACGTAGCGAGAAGGTGCCCCATTTTGCTGTGAACATGACGTGTCTCAACTGTAACTACTACCCAGCACATCTGGGTCGGTACGAAGCGTCGCTTTGCCACCCGTACGGGGCTGGAAAGCCAGTGACCACAGACTAGAGGCCAAATGACTCACCCTAAAATAATGTACCGTAGGTGATGCCCCTTTACTGTATATAAGCTTGTCTTTGATTTTCCGCGAGTGAGCATGACTCTGCTCCCGACCCGAGTCCCGCGTGGCAGTGTGGCTGCGTGATTGATGATATTTTTCTCTGGGTTGCGAAGAAACACATTACAATTGATTTGACCATCTTTTCGGTATCATTTTCGGTATCATGACCATCTTCACAAGCAGCATGTGTCTTCAGGATGAGCGGCCCTAAGCACCATTGATTTTCATGAACCATGGGGCCATGTTACATTATAGTATTATTTATTACCGGTACATAACACACAACACACACCCTTCTCCCCATGATTCCCAATCCCCACACCACATACCAGTACTAAACCAGTAACCCTGAAACGTTTAGACTGGCTAGCTCCACTTCAGAAACTCCGACACAGCCATGCTGTGTAACACTGTTTCAGCACAGCAACTGCAGTCCACAACCCCTTCCCCTCCTCCCCCCACCTTTAGCTTCCCCTCACCCCACATTCTTTAGCTTCCCGTCACCCCTCCTCCCCCTTGCTTTAGCTTCCCCTCAACCCACATTCCCATGCCTCCAATGATTCCCAACCTGTTACCACACCCCCGAAGTCTGAGCTGTTCGCGGCCAATTGGGATGAAGGGCCCTCCGAATCAGCTGCGTTCCCACCGCTATGGCTTCTTTTGATATCGTCGCAAAACCGAGCCACCGCTTCGTTGAATCCCGATTCGTCGTCTACCGGCGCCAACTGGTTAAGCGCCGGCTCGCTTCTATAAGAGTGTCGACGCTGGAGGGTACGAGTAACTTTGTTAAAATTCGTGCTTCTGGTTACTTCTGTAACAACTTCACGATTTCCGCTCCTCCCTCGTTCGGTCTCAAAATCCGACAGTCCCAAAAATACCGGCCGTTCAGCACGCCTCGGCACTTCCGCCGTTTTGGGGCGGGGAAGGAAACGGCCAGTTTTCCCCGTTGTAGGCGTCTTCGCGACTAATGTGGGTGTCATAGGAACCAAACCCTGGTTCACTGGCTCGAGCGTAAGCGGGGGAATTTTAGGTCTCGCTCCGACGGATTTCGGCCCTCTGCTGCTGCTGGTCTTGCTTCCGCTGCTGTTGCTGCCATCGCTGCTGGTACGGCCGCTACTTGTTTTAGGTCTTGCGGCGGTAGGCAGTGGGCAGATTGTCACTTGACGGGCACTTGACGGTGATTTCACCGATGAGAGCGGCGAATCGGAATCGACAGGAGAAGGCGGGTCGGGAATTTCAACCGTCAGGCCGTGGGAAGGGTGCAACCCGGCGAGAGTGTGCGACGATCCGGCGAACTCGTACGACGATCCGGCGATAGTATGCGACGATGCAATTACTGGTGACGTTCCCGATACTCGCCGTTTCTGAGTCCGTCCATTCGCTTCGTCACCCGCCAAAGACGGAGCCCGAGCCGCGGAGATACCATTTTTTTGCCTGGGCGTGTGATCGTTAAGAGGAGGAGTCGATAAGGCGTTCTCGTGACGACGAAGGTGGCCCCAGTAATCCGCGGATCGCTGTCGCCGAGCGACGTCGTCGTCGTAGTCGTCGGCTAGTCGCCTCCCGGCGCTTCTCGGCGTCCTCCGCGACGAAATCGCGTCGCCGGTAACTCCGCCGTCAGTTGCCGATTTTCGTTGCGGGTTTGCGATGTCACCGTCACTTATCGTGTCGGTGACGTCAGAATCTGACGGGTTGATTTCCCCCCACTGGCCCGCGACGGCGTACATATTGGAGGGATGCACGTATTTTCCAGGTACTTTCCCGCTTCGAAGTTCAGATTCTCGGGAAACCCTAACCGACCGATTGAGGTAGCTTCGGTAATGGCTCGTGAAAGCGCCGCTTTCCTCGGAACTGGCGATGCTGGACGAATCGTCGCCGTCGAAATCGTATCTGCGTGAATCTCCGCCGTCGGAGAACGTAGAGGTACCCCAGCCGCCACAAGCAGTCGTCCAAGTCGTCGCCGTCGTCGCAGTTGTCGCCAGCGACGTCGCAGGAGTGACAGCTGCGACAGTCGTCGCTGACGTCGCTGAAGAGAAGCGGGGGGATCTTCAGTGAGGACGCACGACGATGTCGCCCTTTCGATTCCGTCGAAGGGACGGCAGCGGCAGCGGCGGCGGCAGCGGCGGGATCAAGCTGAGCTGCAAGGCTCGGCGGAATGTCTGGAGGAGACAAAAGAGGAGACGAACGAGGACACGCTGCTGGGAGCGAAGGGGTCGCGACGGTGAGGTTTGCAAGAAGAGAATGCATATTGCTCGGACTTGAAACGATAGTTATGCTGGCTGGAGGGCCAAAGAAATCCTTTGGAACGGCGGAGCAGGTCGCGGGACCAAATACACAAGTGGCGGAAAAACGTGAGCGCCGATTGGTTAAACAAGAACGAGGGGAATCAAAATCGGCGACGACAACGAGAATGACGAGTTTGCGGAGGCCGGCGGGGGTGGGGGAAACAAGGGGAGACAACGAGGCAAAGCTACGTTGGAGGCGCCTCAAAAATCAGCTAAGGGACAAGGCTGAAAGTCTTCTCGTGAATTGATAAAAAGGCCGGCAGTTTGGAGGAAAGGAATGTGAAGTGGAGTCAAGTGAAGAGAGAATGGATGGAGGAGCTACTGTGAGCCGTGTTTGGGTTGGGGGAGTCGGGACGTGGAGCTTGTACGTGTAATGGCAGACGATGGTGTGGTGTGGGGTGGAAGAGCTTTCACGTGTTGACAATTGCGAAAAGTTATATCGAAGATTGATTGGAGCTGCGAGTTTTGCGAGTTTCGATACAATTCGTGCAGGTGTTCGGCGAAATGCGGCGATCTTCCCCTTCAAAACGGGGTTGCTTTCCTATCCACACTCACGCTTCTGCCAGGCTGCCAGCACGACAATTTCGTTTGGACAGTTCGTCTCGTCGGTGGTGGCCAGTTGTCAATGTCCGTCAACATTACTGTACTGACATCCTCCTGAGGTGTACACACGAGTTTCCATAAATTTCCAGTGCATCCATATAAATACCCGAAACCTATTTCTTAGTCACAGTGCATGTTCCCTCCTGAACAAGCCACGCTGACGAAACCACAACAACCGCAGAGGAACATCAGACCTTTGAAGAAACACATCACACCACCACCGCAGAAGAAACACAAAAATCCAGTGGGATGACTGCCCAGGAACCACCTCCCAACCAGCCCGAATCCAGGTGTTGTGTTGATGCTTGTCAAGCACCTGCATCTGCACTGTATGGTTGGAATTGGAACGTTGGGCTTCATCCCCGACCAATCGAATAGGGTTGGGTCTTGATTGAAAATCATGTGTCAGTGCTGCACTGTACAAGTCAAGCAGGAGGGTTTCTGTGGTTGTCTTGTCCTACTGCTGACATGTGTCAAGCCAGTGGTGTCCTCCGTCGTGATCGTTGTCGTCAGGAATAACGACCCCAGATTGACAGCAAAATGGGGAAGAGACACCACTGACCGCATAATGTTATCGTACACTCACATTTCATTTGCATGTGTAGTAAACTAGAAGCCATTCCAATATGATGAGGTGAACAAACATCAAATGATGCACTGGAAACCCATGATTCTATTTCAATACGCTCCTAGCCACCTTTTTGCAATCCATATTTGGTTATTGAATAGCATACACGTAATGAACCTACCACACTGCAAAATGCAATTAGCACTTCATTGTTCGAATATAACGTTATATTCGAACATTCATTGACCTAATCGTCATCCAGAGCAGAACGTCGTCTTTGTATCTGTGAAAGGGGCCCACGACGTTGTCAGCAGAAGGGGGAGAAATCATTTACAAAAAGATAGAGCAAAGAAGCGGGGGCAATCCATTGTATTTTGAAATAATCGGTACCACTGACCGTGACTTTAGTACGTTGCTGTGTTTGCTCGTTGATCTGCTCCAAGAGAGTGATGAGGCGAGACTCTGTCACCTGATGGTCACACATACACACACATGTTCACACGCACATACGCACGCATGAAGGCAAATTTGCGTTGTGCTTGGCGCACGCATACAGGGATGTGATGTGCGGGGATGTGCGGGGCTTCGGACAAGACAAGGTTGGGATACGCCAGGCTTTGGACATAATGGCCTGGAGTATGATACAGGAGTAAGATATAATAGATTGGATTTGATAGATTAGAGATGATAGCATGACGGAACAAGAGCGGCTATCATAGGCCTAAACCCTGCCACCCAACCTTCATTACAATCACGCCATTCTCTCTGCAAGTTGCCTTCTCTGTGATCCTATAAACCCATATCGTCCAATTCCACGCCCTTACTATCACCCCACCTTCAATCAGCTTCATTACACTCGAGTTCATACTCTCTGCTAACTGCCCAGTCTGCACCCCCCAAACAATCAAATCCTCCACAATTATCTGCCCTCCAGCATCATATTTTCGAGGCGCCTCAAAAGTAGACCCTGTCTGCACCCCCCAGAGCCAAACAATCAAATCCTCCACAGCTATCTGCCCTCCAGCATCATATCATTCACAAAAAGCACACTCAGCATCAGACACAATACAGTCACACCCACCTTCTCTGCCAGCCTCCAATAAACGCTGTCACTAACATTCACTACAGTCACACCCACTACAGTCACAACTCACCCTCTCCGCCAGCTGCCCTGTCTGCGCCCCTCTGATGATCAAATCCTCCACTGCTGTATGTCCTTCACTAACATTCGCTACAATCACACTCACCCATCACAGTCACACCCACTCGGTCACACCCACACTCACCCTCTCCGCCAGCTGCCCTGTCTGGGCCCCTCGGATGATCAGATCCTCTACAGCTCGTGCCTTCTCCGGCTTGACCAGGGCAATGCGCGCCACTGCATGGGTGGGGTGTTGGAAAAGGGGGGGCCAAAAAAGGGCAGAGGGGTTGTTCACACAAGCACCAGCAGTTCTAAGCTCCCCCTATCGTAAGATCCTCCACTGCTCGTGCCTTCTCGGGTTTCACCAGGGCAATGCGCGCCACTGCATGGGGCAGGCGAGGTGGGGAGGGTGGAGGGGGGGGAAGGGGAAGTGAGGGGATGGATTGAGCCCACTGCCTGCAACTCCTAAAGTTTTTATAAACGCCGAGTGGGGAAGGGAAAGCGAATGCAGCAGGGGGGATGGGAAAGCTAACGCAGCAGTAGGGATGGGGGAACCAATGCACTAGAACGGGTGGGGGAACCAGTGCAGCAGGGGGGATGGGGAAACGGGTGGGGGGAGTAAATGCTGCAGGGGGGTTGGGGGAACCAATGCAGCAGGGGGGGTCTGAGAAGGATTGGGTAAGGAGTTTTCATACCCGCATTTTTTTATTCAGCCACTCTGCTTCATGCTTCCAGCCTCATCCTTGAATCTCCTCTTCCTGTCACTCCCGCATCTGTCACTCTTGCTGCTTCGGTCATATTCGCTTCTATCACACTACACTAAACGGACTCACATCGCTCCCTGGCACTCGAATTCATCAGCTTAGCCAGCATAATCTGTCTACCATGTCTCGTACCCAACTGTCACTTCCCTTACTGTCACATCCGTGGTCTGTCACACCACACTTCGCAACTCCCAGCGCTCTCTGGCACTAGAGTCCACTAGAGTCCATCAGCTGGGCCAGCATCATCTGTCTCCCATGTTACTTATCCAGCGGTCTGTCACATCCACATTTGTCACACTCGTTTCTGTCACACTACACCAAACACCACATCATGAAACTCACATCGCTCTCTGGCACTCGAGTCCATCAGCTGAGCCAGCATCATCTGTCTCCTCTCCTCAGCTTCCCTGCACCCACAAGAACAAGAAACGGGCAGACGCAAACAGTAAGACAACTTTTTATTCAACTCAAGATTCGCCCCATCAGCTGGGCCAGCATCATCTGTCTCCTCTCCTCAGCTTCCCTGCACCCACAAGAACGAGAAGCAGGCAGACGCAAACAGCAAGATCTCTTTCAATCAAGATTGGAAATATGGACGAGGCGAAGTGCTCATTTTTCCATGATGTAGTTTATCTATACTCGTCCTACTTACTGTTTCTTTGACTCATCCTGCTGACCAGCAGCGGCAGACGGCATCCCTGCTCCAGCTCCCCTCCCTGCCTGAAATGACACAACACCATTCCCACACAGAAGACATAGAAAGATTCTTGAGTCGACTCAATAGGCAGACGCCATCCTTGCTCCAGCTCCCCTCCCTGCCTGGAACGTCTCAACACCATTCCCACACAGGAAGCATGGATGAACAAACTTGCAAGAAAAATGAATTAATGCATAAACTCTTAACCAACGGCATCCCTCCTCCAGCTACCCTCCCTGCCTGAAAGGACTCAACATCATTCCCACACAGGAAGCATTGCAAGATTCCCAGATGAACAAAGTTCCATATGAGCTGAATTATGCGTCAAATCAAAACCGACGGCATGCTTTCTCTAGCTTTAGCTCCCTCCGTGAAGCGATATTTTGCAAATCAGCTCCGCGAAATTTAGTCATGCCTTTTCCAGCTACAGCTCCCCCTCTGAAGCTAGTCCACATGTAAACTACAAACGCCCATACGCAAGTTCTACATATCAGCTCCGCAAAAAACAGGTCATGCTTACTCCAGCTCCGACCCCCTCTTTGAAGCTAGTCCACGTGTATAGTACAAACGTCCATACGCAGATGCTGCATATCAGCTCTGCAAAAATAAGGTCATGCTTACTCCAGCTCCAGCCCCCTCTCTGAAGCTATTTCACGTGTAGAGTACAAACGTCCATACGCAGATACTGCATATCAGCTCTGCAAAAATAAGGTCATGCTTACTCCAGCTCCAGCCCCCTCTCTGAAACTATTTCACGTGTAGATTACAAACGTCCATACGCAAGTTCTGCATATCAGCTCCGCAAAAATCAGGTCATGCTTACTCCAGCTCCGACCCCCTCTCTGAAGCTATTTCACGTGTGACGTGCATACGTTCATGTGTAAATTCTGCTGAGTAGCTCTGTCAAAATCAGGTCATGCTTTCTCCGGCTTCAGCTCCCTCCCTGATGCGAATTTCTCGTACAAATGGCATGTGTTTCCGTGTAGACTGTGCAACGTCCGCAAGCACGCACCTGTGCGCCCTGGGCCGCCATTATTTCCCTCATTCGCCTCTGGCGAATCGCCTCGAGCTCTGGATCCTGAAAATGCAACAATTCAATCAAAAGGTACGGACGATAAAAAGGAATGTAAGAATCATGCGTATCTTATCATGAAGAACCGTGGAATCCTGGAAGATATTTTGAGACGACAGCCAGTGTTTAAATAGGAGCTGTAGATGAGGTTGCCCAGATTCTGACGAATCTAATTGAGTTAGAGCAATCCGTAACGTCGCATGGTGACATTATAGAAAGGCTTATCACGAGATTAATTTGCATTGATTGGAAAAGGATTCTGACGGCAACGTGGTAGGGAAGTGATTGGAAACAAAACTTACATCCATGGATGCAGGAGAATCAGGTGTAGTATTAGATGGCAAAGCAGGTCCGTACTAAGGGCTCGTTAGACTGGCAGTATCTAGATTCTAGAACAACTTGGAATAAGGACGAATGGATCAAGAAGCTGTGTGTGGAACCACTAACACAAATTCAAGAAAGGCAAGAAATGGCTGCCGACAGGCGGAGGAAAAAACTTGTATGGCGCGCGCAAGGGAAAGGTTGAAAGGCGGAAAGGTTTCTGCGGAGGTGCGTTTCCGCGCCAGAGGAACGGGAAGACGCGGGGAGCGGATTGAGCGAGCGTTGCGCTCGGCTTCCGCTGACATCAGAAAGTGCGGGAAAAGTTTTGGCGGGAGGACACGTCAGCGCTGTCAGACACCTTGGCAAGGGGTTTCGCCATTTTCCGTTACCAGCCGTAGTTACGCTCAGTGTTACTGCTATTTCCGTCTGACAGCGTCGATGTCGTGTTGACTTGTCGGCCGTGCAAATCTTTGGTGTGTCGTGGCTGTCGCAAAGCCCAGCTCGCGATGATTGTCATCGCTTACTGTCGTCCACGCCTTTCCTTAACGAATTGCGACGTCGCACGACGCGTCGCCTCTTCCATCTGGGTCAGCCAAAGCTTACTTTCTACCCGCAAGAGCTCCTGTCCGACTGCTCCGGCTGCATGAAAAGCTGTTCTTTTTGTTTCGGGCAGGCAATCAGCAGTCACAGAAAACTGTAGATGTTCGCACAAGACGTGGACAGCCAGCAGCCAGCCACGAGGTAACACTGCCACTTCCCCCCGGGACTGGTGAGGTGGGAAGGCACTCTTCCGAGTTTCCGACCTCGGGATTCGATCACTCACCTTTTTAGAGCTGGGACACCTCGGGAACTCCTAAGAAAGCCTATTCTTCCTTTGGGATTACAACGCTAAGAAAGCTCGCCTGCTTCATTTCTACCGTTGTATATATCGATTCGACGGGCTTGTACGCTTCGCAGCTTGTACTCAAGAGCTCTTGCCTTGATACGCTTCGTCGGTTCGGTTCTGCTCCTGACCACTCTTGCTGCATATATCCCGACTCGCTCAATACTCTTCTCGCTAGTACCTTCACTTCGCTCTGTCTCACCTCGCTAACCGTAGACCGTCACGTTCATCGCTTCGCTTCTCGCGATCACTTCGTCTCTCGTCATTCCCGACTCCTCGTCTCGCCAATCCAAACCCGTACAAACCACTTACCGTCAATTCTATCGCGTCGCGTTCTCGTCATGGCTCCGTCCGTCCCTGAAATCGCGGAAACTGCGCAACAGCCGCCGAACATCCAGGTCACGAACCTGCAGTTCACGTATCCCGGAATCGACGGCCAGCCGCCTCCCGGCGCCAAGCCGCTGATCGACGGCTTCTCCCTCTCGCTGCACCCCGGCGATCGCTGCCTTCTTGTCGGCGCGAACGGAGCAGGCATGTGAAGCACTATCTTTTGAATGACTCATGCGTGTATTGACTCTTCTCCCTCACGCTGCACCCCGGCGATCGCTGCCTCCTCGTCGGCGCGAATGGCGCAGGTATGTGAAGTTGTACTCGACCCTTTGACTTAGGAACGGTTGCTTATTCACGCTGCTTCCCGGTGATCACTGTTTCTTAAAGCTCGCGGCAAGCATGGCTGATCCATCCATGGCTCCAGCGCTTCTTAATGTCTCTCCTTGCTCCCGCCATGCGTTTCGTCTTAATCCCAGATTTTTCTTGAACCCATCCTCAAGATTCTGGGCGGCAAGCACATGGTCGATCCCTCTGTGGCTCGCGTGTATGATTGTTGATTTCTCCTTTCTTTTTTGTCCCATCCCTTCCATCCCTTCAGGCAAGACCACCATTCTCAAGATCCTGGGCGGCAAGCACATGGTCGATCCCTCAATGGTTCGCGTCCTGGGCCGCTCAGCCTTCCACGATACCGGGCTAGAGGCGTCTGGCGCTCTCACGTACCTTGGTGGCGAGGTTAGTACACTGTACCGCTGCCTTCTCTCCACCTTGTCGGTATGTCTATTCTGAGTAGCCCGCTTGGCCTTCCAGGATACCGGGCTGGAAGCGTCTGGCGCTCTCACATACCTTGGTGGCGAGGTCAGTACCCTTGTCTTCTCTTCACCTCTTTCTGATAAAGCCCAGCAACACTTACCCGCCCTGTATTTCCCAACTCCGGTCAGAGGCGTCAGGCTATAGGCGCCTGGCACTCTCACGTACCTTAGTGGCGAGGCCAGTACCTGTGTTTTCCCTCCACCTCTTTCTGATAAAGCCCAGTAACACTTTCCAGCGCTCATTCATACGTAGAAATTGTTTACATGCTGCTACAACTAACGAGTCTTCTCTCTCTTCTTTTCCACAACCCGTGCCTCACTGCAGTGGCGCAGGGATGTAGCGTTTGCGGGCTTTGACGCACCGCTACCGATGGACGTATCAGCCAGGAAGATGCTCTATGGCACCGCTACAGCCTAACCATCGTGCTCTCTCTTCGTCTCTTCTCTTCCCACTACCACTCGTGTCTTTCTGCAGTGGCGCAGGGATGTAGCGTTTGCAGGCTTCGACGTGCCGCTACAGATGGACGTGTCGGCCAGGAAGATGATCTTCGGCGCCGCTACAGCTGACCCCAATTGTGCTGCCTCTTCCTTCTTGTCCTCCTGCCTCCCATTCCATGGTGCAGTGGCGCAGGGATGTAGCGTTCGCGGGCTTTGACGTGCCGCTACAGATGGACATATCAGCCAGGAAGATGATATTCGGTGCTGCTACAGACGCTGCCAGGAGGGACCAGCTGATCAAGGTGTTGGATATCGACCTGGAATGGCGGATGCATAAGGTGTCAGACGGGCAGAGGAGACGCGTGCAAATCGCCATGGGGTTGCTGAAGCCGTTCAAGGTGTGTGGGGGTGTGTCAGGTAGCACTTGCTGCAAGGAGGGACCGGCTGATCAAGGTGTTGGATATCGACCTGGAGTGGCGGATGCATAAGGTGTCGGACGGGCAGAGGAGGCGCGTTCAAATTGCAATGGGATTGCTGAAGCCATTCAAGGTACGCAAGGGAAACTTCAAGGAAACTGACTCTAAGAGGAGGGACCGGCTGATCAAGGTGTTGGATATCGACCTGGAGTGGCGGATGCATAAGGTGTTGGACGGACAGAGGAGGCGCGTGCAGATCCCCATGGGGTTGCTGAAGCCGTTCAAGGTGAGTGCAGGCGTAGGTGTGTGAGGGAATTGGGTAGTTCAATCTGAGACAATGACCGGCTGATGAGAGTGTTGGTCGGGGGTGTGTGGGGTAGTTTAAGTTGAGAGGAAGGATTGGTCAATGAGGTTTGGGGATATATACCTGGGGTGGAAAATGCATGAATCGTCGGACGGGCAGGAAACACGGTGGTTTTGGACTTACTGGGTTGAGCGAATGTGTTGGCCTGCTCCTTTCTTTCCCCGCTTTCCGAACCTCCACTGCCCCTCGCCATCTTCCGCCCGTCCACCCTGCCATGCATGCAGGTTCTCCTGTTGAACGAGATACAGTGGATCTGGACGTGTTGGGCCGGGCTTATACAGTACTTTGCACCACTCAACATCTCTATTTCCACCCCACTATCCCACCGCGCATGCAGGTTTTTCTGTTGGACGAGATTACAGTGGATCTGGACGTGTTGGGTCGGGCTGATCCATTTGTCTGCTCCCCTTACCCCGTCTTCCCGCCCTTCCCCCGTCCCACCATTCAGGTCCTTCTCTTGGACGAGATTACAGTGGATCTGGACGTGTTGGGCCGAGCTGATCCATTCGTCTGCTCCCCTTACCCCGTCTTCCCGCCCTTCCCCCGTCCCACCATGCAGGTCCTTCTCTTGGACGAGATAACAGTGGATCTGGACGTGTTGGGCCGAGCTGACCTGATGACTTTTCTGAGGGAGGAGTGCGAGCAGAGGGGCGCGACGATCGTGTATGCCACACACATTTTCGACGGGCTACAGACGTGGCCGACTCACATTGTAAGTGTAACACTCGCACCATTGATATGCATGCACACCTAAGCCTGGATTGCATGTGGCCCGCCCACATTGGAGTGCGAGCAGAGGGGAGCAACTATCGTGTATGCCACTCACATATTCGACGGGCTACAGACATGGCCGACTCACATTGTACGTGCTACCCATGTACGCGCACATTGCATGTGGCCCACGCGTAATGGGGTGCTAGCAGAGGGGAGCAGCGATTGTGTATGCACTCCCACACCCTCACACTTTCGACGGGCCCACACATTTTCGACGGGCTACAGACGTGGCCCACCCACACCCTCCACCACTCGTATGATGAGCTCAATATCCCTCTGCACCCCTCTCCGCCCCTCTGCACCCTCCCATACCCCTCTGAGTCCCTTCTTCAGGCATACGTGGCAAAGGGCAGGCTGCAATTCACCAAGCAGCTGTCAGAGTCCCAGAGCTGGCCTCCACCACTCTTATGGTAGATTGTTAATCCTATTTTCCCTCTGCGCCCTTCTTCACCACTCTGCACCCTTTTCTGCTCCTTCCAGGCATACGTGGCAAAGGGCAGGCTGCAATTCACCAAGCAGCTGACAGAATTCCCGGAATTGGCCTCCACCACTCTTATGGTGAGCTAGTCTGCCCATCAATAGACACAATGGGAAAGTCTGGACGGAAAATGACGAACGTTGAGAGATTGAGAGAACGCCTGGAGAGACTGAGATGCTGCAGGACCATCAAGGGAGTCTGAGATGCTGCAGGACCATCAAGCGAGTCTGAGATGCTGCAGGACCATCAAGCGAGTCTGAGATGCTGCAGGAGAAGAGGGTAGACAACGGGGATGTAATTTCCAACACCACCTTTGCACATCACCCCTTCCCATCCTCTTACCACCCTCCCCTTCCCCTCACCCTCTCCCCTACTCCCAACTTCTTCCATTCTCCTCCCCCCCCTCGATTTTCTCATTTCAGCGAATGATCGAAGCATGGCTTCGACAGGAGCAGAAGGAGGAGAGGGAGAGGAGGAAAGCACGGAAAGCCTTGGGATTACCTGAAAGGGAGGAGCTGGGAGGAGGGGAGGGGACACGGGTAGTAGGAGATCCTGCCAAGAAGGCTGCTTCAAGGGTGATGAATAACGGATGGGGGCAAGGCAGGATGTTTCCGACGGTGAAACTGTCAGACGAAGACGCTGCTAAGCTGTTTGACCTGACCTCCAATAGAGTGCTGCGGATGTAAACACTGTTTCATTACACTGATGAAATCATGTAACCTTTCCGCCTTACATCAATGCAACCTGTGTAGTGAAAAGACCATGCATTGTGAGTAGTGCACAGTGAAGGTTGGAGCCAGGAAAGGATGCTGCTGGAGGAGGTAGTTGGCTGTTTGACATGTCTCCCAATAGGGTGCTGCTGATGATGTAACACAGTTACACTGTTGAACTAAACCATATCCTTTGATCATAGCAGAGAAATTGCTCCTAAGCTGTTTGACCTGTCATACAGCAGGGTGCTGAGGATGTAACATTAGCACGACACTTAACTGATGTGTCGACGTACTTATGATGCAAAACAAGTAACCTGGCTTTACTGTAAGATACTGCAAAGGTTTGGCTTCGCTGCAAAGATGATGAACAATTGATTGATGGCAGCGACGCTGATTCTAATGGTGAGGCTCTTGGATACAGGTGGTGCTGGTCTATCTAACCTGACCAACAAAGTTAGTCCAACAAACCTTATCCTATATACCGGTAGTAAAGCTAATCATGCCTAACCCGCTGCTCATCTTGCTCCAGCATTTGCTGTGGATGCTTCAGCCCCGGTAGCAGCAGTTGGTGGCTTCTTAGGCGCAGTGTGGGAGACATAGGGCTTGAGCTGATGGGAGGGAAAGAGATGGAACAGAGAGGAACGGAAAAGAGAGAAGAAAATGGGCAGCGCAGAGAGAGGGGAGGGAGATGGTGAGGATTCAGCATTTGCTGTGGGTGTTGGTGGCTTTTTAGGGGCAGTGTGGGAGACATAGGGCTTGAGCTGATGGGAGGGAAAGAGATGGAACAGAGAGGAAGGGAAAAGAGAGAAGAAAATGGGCAGCGCAGAGAGAGGGGAGGGAGATGGTGAGGATTTCGGGGAGCGGGTGGGAGGGGAAGGGAAGAGAATGGGCAGCACAGAGAGAGGGGAGAGAGATGGTGAGGATTCCAGCTCTTGCTGTGGGTGCATCAGCCTCAGTACAGTCGCTGGTGGCTTCTTAGGCGCGGTGTGGGAGACATAGGGCTCGAGCTGTCGGGAGAGGGAACAGGCGGAATAAGAGGGGAAGGGAAGATAGGGAAGAAAGGTGGTGAAATTCCCAGCACATGTTGTGGATGCTGCAGCCCCAATAGCTGCGGCTGGTGGCTTCTTGGGTGCAGTGTGGGAGACTTAGGGCTTGAGCTGTTGGGAGGGAAACAGGTGAAACAAGGGAAAGCCTGAAGGGGGGGGAGGGTAGGAGGAGGGGGGAAAAGGGGAGGGTGCAGGCAAGTAAAGTTTCACAGGCAAAGGAGGGCGTAGAGTGTGGAGAGTGCGACCTCAAAGAACCTGGCAATGTGTGAGTCGGGCGCTTGGGTAGGAATGTTGACATACCAGGGAATTCACCAAACAGGCGCCAAGGGAAGGAACCATGCAGAGGTGATTGGGCGTTATGAGTCTGTTTTTGAGTCACAATGTCTGAGTCTGATTCACCATGACTCAAAAACAGACTCAGCACAACTTTCGAGTCGACTCAAAAGTTGGGCGTTATGAGTCAGTTTTTGAGTCGACTCAAAAACAGACTCATCACAGGCGCCCTGGGAAATAACCACGCAGAGGTGATTGGGCGTTACATGGCAGTTAGAGAGGCTCGGCATCAGCAGTTATGTGGAAGGCAGGAAATACCTGAAAGTTACTGAGGTCTGGAACCAGGTAGGTTGGCATCTTCTCTTCCATGAGAATGTAACCACCTGCAGGGAGGGAGTAATGAGGGACAGTAGTTGGCAGGCAGATATCAGATGAACGGTTGAGATTAATGGAGGGGATAAAGAGTTGGGTAAGCAGGTATGTAGGCATCTTCTCTTCCATGAGAACGTAACCACCTGCAGGGGGGAGTGAGAGACAGAGTTGGCAGGTATCAGATGAACGGTTGAGATCAAAGGTTGAACTGAACGGTAGGGGTGAAAGGTTGAGATGGCATAAGGCAGGTAGGTGGGCATATTCTCTTACATGAGAATGTAACCATCTGCAGGGAGAAATGAGAGACAGTGGTTGGCAGGTATCAGATGAACGGTTGAGATTAATGGAGGGGATAAAGAGTCAGGTAAGCAGGTATGTAGGCATCTTCTCTTCCATGAGAATGTAACCACCTGCAGGGAGTAATGAAACAGTAGTGCGACTCCATGTCCCCTTGCAAGTTCGAGACGTCTCAAAAACTACCACTTTTGAGAATCTCAAAAGCTGCACAAGAACTGTCTCAAAACTCAACTTGTATCACGTGCCCATAATGAGACTCCCTGTCCCCTCGCGCTAGCTCTTCCTGTCGAAGCAGCTTCTCAGCATTTTACCCTCCCCATAACCCCCCTCCCTGCCCACTTCCTTCACAGCCCCCCTCTTCCAATTCCCTCCCGAACCCCTCCCTCCGTTTTCCCCATCACAACCCTTACCCTCCCCCCTGCCCCCCAGCCCCCTGCCTAACCCCTCTCCCCTGCCCCCCGCCTCCCCCACCTCCAATTCCCCCCCCTTCCAACCGTCAAAACCTTCCGACCCCCCCCCCCCCTCCCCCCTCCCCTTCCCCCCTTCCCCTCCCACACCCGCTCCCACGTATCCTCTCGCATCACCCCCCGTGTATTCACCTTTCTTTGTGTGTCGTCCCATAGTGCGACTCCCCGTCCCCTTATAATAGTTCTTCGGGCCGCGCTTCGCTGTTAGATACTTAAATCCCTTAGCCGGCACGGATCGCCCTCGCAGCAGCCCCGTCAACACGTTCAACATCGCGTTGTCGACAACACGTGTCTGATCGCTTTGACACGTTGGCACGCGACGCGTCAGTAAAACGAGCACTGAAAACGTTAGTGCTCTCTTGAGTGACGTTTCAGAATTTCAGCGTTCGATATGCGCCGATGCGGTAAAGAACATCACCAACTGCCAGGCAGGGAGAAATGAGAAATAATTTTTCAAGCGGCTAAACGACATATAATACGGCGCCAGCACGGAAACTACCGCGGTGGGTCGGGAGGATCACACAAGCACACGCTCGCACGCACTCGGCCGCACGGAAGGTGGGGAGATCCAGGCTGCGACAAGCGGCGCGTGGGTTACGCCAGCTTTTGCAGTGGTCGCAGGCTGTAAAAGACGTGATGACCTTAGTGACTGTGGAGCTAGGGTGTGTACGCGAACTATAAGCACTTTGCGCTTCGCCACTATATTGACAATCGCAAACCTTATTGCTTGGGTGGAGCTAGGTTATATCGAATTATTTCGTCAAACTCGCACAGGCGAATCCACATTCTGCTACCAGTTTATAGTAACAACTCGAAGCTGTGAACACAACTGCGGCGAACTTGCGAACTAGCTGCGAAGTGCACCTTTGTTTGAGACGCAGCTGGTGCCAAAACTGCCCCTGCTTTTTTGTCGAAATCGATGTTACTAACTGGTTCTTCCAGTTCGTGAACCTGCCACGTGTTGCGTCCATAACCACAGATGTCAGCGAACCAGTTGAACCCACTTTTGAACCCACATCACATTGCACCATACTTGATCTCACTCAATCGTTTCTCACCCAACTCACATTCCGAGCTTGAGCACCGTTTTGATGAGTAGTGCCACCATCTATTTGCTTATGGGATGACGTGACGTCAGTTCCTTGCGTGTTTGCCTTGTTCCTTTTTAGGCCTGGCGAGTGAGGCCGCTCCTCGCGCAACGTGCTTCGCTTCAGCAGAAAAGCAGATACAAACAAGGCTTACACGCGCCTCAGGGATTGGACTTATGACCACGAGAAGCTCGCTCAATAGTTCAAGGGCGATTTTGTAGAGCAAGAAATAACAGAGAGACGAGCAGCGTCGAAGCAGATTTTCTGAGGCAGTTTAGGGATAGAATAGAGCGTCATACCGTCGGATAAGGCAGAAGTATTCACGATGTTCCCAGGCGGGCCAGGCGGACCAGCCTCATCGTCCTTTCAAGCCTCCCCGTTTCGCGTATGTACACCGTCTTCAGGGCTAGCGTCGCAGTCAATCAGGGTGGTCAATTGCTATGGCCCGCTTCCCGCGGTTCTGCTACTGCAGCATCGCGCGTTGGCCAATCAGCGAGCTGCGTCCAAGCGAAGCAGAATTCGGATGCACAGGAGGGCGAGTAAGTCGAGAATGTCTATTGAGGGTACGGGAGGAGAGGTCGAAGGGGGATCTGTTTTAGGAGACGAGGTCGTGGAAGGTTGCGGGAGGAGCAGCAGCAGCAGCAGAAGCAGCAGCACAAGACCTGCTGCTAGCAGAGATGCCACCAACGGTGGTGGCTCCAGCACCTCACAATCCGTTCCTCTCCCTTCAACCTCCTCCTCTCTCTCCTCCCCTCACCCGTTCTCACAATCACTATCCGCCTCCCTCACTCTTCTCCTCCGCTCCCTCCCACTCGCCCTCCCCCACCTCCTCTCCACAACCCTCCCCGGCCTACAATCCTCACTAAACCTATTCCCCCCTTTCCCACCCTCCTCATCTCACAAATCTCGTTCTCCCTTTACCACCAACGCCTTTCGCGGGGGATCCTACGGCGGTGGTAACAGCGGTTTTCCAAGTAACCTTTTCTCTGGTTCCCCTTCCACTGGGCCTATCTGGCCTTGGGCTCCTGGTGGTTCCAGGGCCCATCGCAAGGTCACTGACCTTCTCCTTGCCATCAACGCAGCCGCTTTTCTCCTCCAAATCATCTCCAACAACCGCCTTCTCTTGCTCGGCGCTAAAGTCAACTCTCTTATCCGCCAGGGCCAGTACTACCGGCTATTCTCATCCGCGTTGCTCCATGCTGATCTTCAGCATCTTGTAGTGAATTCCCTTTCACTGAATACCATCGGCCCGGATGCTGAGTCGCTGCTTGGGGGCCGGCGCATGGCTGGCATCTATGTGGCATCAGCGTTGGCCAGCTCAGCGCTGAGCCTCGTGCTCAACCCTTCACCCTCTGTAGGTGCATCTGGAGCGATTTTTGGGCTTGTCGGGGCGCTGGGGGTGTTCTTTCTGAGGCACAAGAAGCAGCTGAGCTTGAGGGGGTCTGCATATTTGCGCTGCTTAGGCACTACAGTCATGTTCAACATGGTTCTGGGTGTTTTTTGGAGGAACATTGATAACTCAGGACACCTGGGGGGCCTGCTTGGCGGTGCAGCAGCGGCCTGGTTGGTTGGGCCAAGGATAATCTCAGCTGGGTTTCCGCCTAAGCTGTATGACTACCCGCCCATTGCAGAGGTCCTGCAACTTCCTGCCACTCCGATCGGATCTCCCAAGGTGTAGATTGATTATGATACCACCAAGTAAAGAGTTGATTTGTTGGTACCATATGTTTCTTCATTAGGTCCTAGCTTCTGTAGAAAGTGGTGATGCCTCAGCAGCATAAAACAACATGGTTGCTGCCACTTCCGGCCATGCCTTGGTGGCCACTGGTTTCGTATTTGATTCAAAACATGTCTGCAAATTCATCAGGGTAGGTGAGTTCGCCACAGCTCATAAGCACCTGCCTTGTTCGTGCTTGACGTATGTACAAAGTCATATGATCGCATAGCCGACTGCAAGGAGAATGGCGACAGCCCACGAAGCCACCATGAACAATCGGAAGCGTAGAAGAAGAGAATCCTGCAATGCAGTGTTCGAGTAAAACGCTGAGAAGGAAGAATCAGAGAAGAGCGTCGCTGTGGTACTTACTGTGCTCTTTGTCCTTCGCGTCATGTTCGCTTCTCCACCAGCCGAGGAAAGATATAGCCCATCCACTGCACAAGAAAATTATGAAGATCTACAAGGAGGGATGCAATATGGCGCTAAAGCTGGAGACTTACTTCGACGCTTGAGATCTTGAAGCTTCATCATCATCCTCATGACACGAATGCGCTTTTCGACATCTACAGCAGTGCCTGGATTGGCCATTGCGTGCAAAAAGCTAACAAGAGATCCTTTATCTAAAACGGCACGAAGAATCCTGGCGACGCGTGAATGTTCGACGTGAGATTAGGCTTCTGAGCTTCCCCAGCAGATGGATAAACGTACAAGAACCTGAGATTATTGTGTGCTTCTGGAATCGCCAGTTATTAGGTGCTTGTGATCGAGCAGCAGATGCAGCGCATAGTCGATGTGTGCTTGTTATCAGTGGGTGTTGTTGCCAATTTGACAGCGGCAACATCAGGAACTTAATATAATTCGAAGCCGTATTCTTTAGTATCATTGAACACGAGATACAAGCGCCAGTTCCAGTCGAAACTCTACACTACTTCATGACACAAGGCTGACATATTTTTGAAAAATGCTTGTACCGAAGCTGAGCATGCCACTGAGAGCAGGGGGTTTGGAAGGCAAAAATTATTTGAATCATGAACCAGCCCTGACACAGCCACCAGTGTGCCAAGCCTGGAATAGGCAGCAAATGCTAGGGCAATGGAGAAAACACCTCCGACACCATTTTCCAGTATTTACATAGCGTGCCATTCCAAATCCTTTTTGCGACTGACATCATTTAGCTAAGGGTTGAGAAGACCACCCTTTTGCAACACACCTGTACCAGTTATTCACACATAACTGGGTGTGTCTCTTGTGGCGGCTCCAATTCACTAGCTCCGCATGCAGCTATGGCGTTCAAATCTCTTCATGCCTGTCAGCTTCTAGCAACACTGTCAGCTTTCGCGCTCGCAATTATCCTGCAGAGATGCGAAGCTGCTGCTGATGGTACGACAACACAAAATCGCGCTTTCTTGCCAAAACGGAACATCATGTTTCGTCTAAACTCACTTGAGCGATTTCTAGAGAACGTCGTCTCTTTATGCTTCGTCTGGATCGCTTCGCATTCCTGCGCTTGTATCTTGTCGTCCCGTATTGACAGGCACACGGAGTGGTAATGGCATGTACGAGAAGGTTCTGGAACCCACCCTAGACACGATCCATATGGAAGGTGCGTTCGTGTGTTTTATTCTAATGGATCGCTTTCGTCCGTTTTATACTAAAGCTCTTACATTATTTTCTTACTATTAACATTCCAACGAAAGGGGATGCAAAACATTCTCAGTCACCAAACGATCCCTTTCTGCTCCATATTGTCATTTCTGCATGCAACAGATGCCTTTCCTCTCTTGTTTCGTTATTATTTTCTCCTCAATTTCAGACCTGCCCGGATTCACTCGCAGCGTGGTGGCGAGGGACCATGCCCTGATCACACCAGAAAGCCGAGTATTCAGCCCTCTGCCCGGATGGTGGGTTTCGAGTAACTCATATGGACTTCTGAGTGGATATATAGCAACCTGAGTCGAATTATAAGTCGCAGCATGGTGGCAAGGGACATACTTTGATCACGTGAGCAAGTTGCGCTCGCAACTAACTCTCTCAGCACGCCTCACGCACTCTCCATCATCATCCTGCAGGGAAAACACTCTCTCAGCACACCTGGTTACCCCTGCCATTGGCGCACACTTTGCCATGTCCCTGCTTCGGCTCTCAGGTATGAATTCTCCTCTCTGCATCAGCACTCAGCTTCCAACCATCCAACTCCTCTTGAGAGATTTTAGGGAATTTTCAGAATTCACCCTTTTTTGTGTGTGAAGTCCAATAGGTATTTGCTGCTGCAACACGATGTGATCGCTCGTGCCCAGCCTCCCAACGCTGCATATAATCTTTTCACCCTTTTCCCTGCTTCTTTCTGTGCGTTCCACATCTGGTGATTCCTGCTATTGACTCTGGGAATGTTTTTGCACGTGCAATTTGAATCTCTATCCGTGCTGCACTGTACATTGATAGGGTTCTCCCTCCCCTGTTAAATCCCTCGCTTGTTATTCTCTCTCGGCTCGCTGTTTCAGGCAACGCGTCTTCCGCCCCTCCAGTGGCTGGAGTGGAGAGGTGAGCGAAGCAGGCAGGCATGTAGGTGAGGATTGATGGAAGTGAGAAGCATGGGGGTGAGAGGTATGGGGCTGAGAGGGATGGGGATGAGAGGCATGGGGTTGATGGGCATGGGGTTGAGAGGCCTGGGGGTGATGGGCATGGGGTTGAGAGGCCTGGGGGTGATGGGCATGGGGTTGAGAGGTGGGGGGGTGAGAGGCATGGGAAGAGAGGCACGGAGGTGAAAAGAGGTCAGCCATGTAACAAGGTGAGCAATCACGCAAATCGGACGCATGAAGCAGACTCTGACAGATAAGAAAAAATTATTAACGTGTGCGACTACTATGATGAGAGCCACATTGTAACAAATTGCACTTCTCAAGAGAGATACCCTTGAGATTGGCGGCCTGCCTCCCTTCTTGAATTGCTGCCTGCCTTCTCTGATTGCTCCGTTGCTGCAGGTTTGTGTTTGTGGTATCAGGGCAAGTCAGCTTCACTCAGTACGGAACTCCAGGAGGAGAGACTACTGAGGGAGGGGCGGCCAATGAGTGCTCGACAGCTGGCGATGCTGGAACCACCTGCTCAAGCTCCATTGTTCGGCAGGAGGAGCTTATGGTACTCACATTCTCTTTAAGTTTTCACCAATCATAAAAAGAAGAAGCCTTTTTGTTTTTTCACCTGGAAACGCTTTACTTCAGACGTTTTGCATTGGGTTCTTCACCTTTTGGCAGGAGAATCTTTTGGCATGCAGGCAGAGCATGGGCCTTGGGCCTTGCATGTGCAGCATTTTCTTACACATGTCCTCTAGCTCACATGCCCACCGATGTTCTTCCCCCTCTCAATTTCACTTCTCTTTTTCCACCAACTCACCATATACCGTGTACCTGTCAAGCCTCCTTTCTATCTACATCAGCCCACCTCCTTGTCTTTCGCTCTGCTTCCCAGTCTGCTTTCGAGCAATCCCTGCTTCCAAACAACTAAAAATCCTCTCCTCCCCAATTTGCACCATCTTGCCTTGCACCTCCTTCATTCAGGACGACTCTTATCTCTTTCTGCCACCAAATACGCCCCGCTCTGCTTTCAAGCCCGCGTCCAAATAAATCATCGCCTTTTCCTCCCCCCGTCTGCACCAACCCACCTTGCACCTCCTTCATTCAGGACGACTCTTATCTCTTTCTGCCACCAAATACGCCCCACGCATTGGCCTCTGCATCTGGAGCTACACTCGTTCTCATCGAACGCAGGTAGGCTTCCCTCTCTGTAAGAGCTTAAAGCCCAACAGAGAGATCACTGAATGGAACGCACCACTCCTTGGCCCCTGCGTCCGGAGCCACACTCCTTCCCATTGAACACAGGTGAGGTCCCTTTTGCCCTTTTGAGAGCTTAAAGCCTAGCTTTCAGGTACAGGTCCAAGAGGTTACTGAATGGAACACGACACTTCTTGGCCTCTGCGTCTGAAGCTTTACTCGTTCTCATCGAACGAAGGTAGGCTTCCCTTTTTGTAAGAGCTTAAAGCCAAACAGACGACTTTTGAGACGTCTCAAAAGTCAACTTAAAGAACACAGGAACCTTCAACCCCGAAACTCTGAACCTGAGATAATTCCTAAGTTTCGTTAAAAGAGTCTTTTCGAGTCTCGCAGACAACTCCTTTGCCCGAGCAGGAGTTACACTCGTCTCACAGACAGCTCCTGCTAACAACGTCCAACTAACAACGTTTTGTCAGCTCGAAACTCACGTGATGTGGTGAGATGAGGGTCGACGTACCTCCCGTTCTCCATTTCCTTCACCAATTGTCTCTTCCCTTCTCCCCTTTTCTTATCGACTAAATAGCCACCTAGAAACTCACGTGATGTGGACCCTCCATCTTCCTTCCCTTCACCGATTCTCCCTTCCCTTCTTCCCTCTTCCCTGCGTTCTCTCTTTCCTCCCCCCTCCCCCCCCCCCCCCTGCCTACCCTTTCCTTACCACCCTCCATTCCCCTCCCCCCGTCCTCGTTTTCCGTTTCCCCCACCCCCCGCCACCCCCCACGCCCTCTACCCACCAACATCAGGCACTGCCCTATCTCGGGCCTCGCTACAGCGTCAGGGGTGGAGAGCTAGGGGTTTTGAGGCGACTCATAAATCGAGTTTTGAGTCGACTCAAAACTCGACTCACTACAAGGGTGGAGAGCTAGGGGTTTTGAGGCGACTCATAAATCTTTTCCTCCCCTTCCCCCCCACCCACGCCCTCCACCCACCACCATCAGGCACTGCCCTATCTCAGGCCTCGCTACAGCCTCAGGTGTCCCCCAATCCCCCCCCCCCCCACCCCCGAAACCCCCACGCCCTCCACCCACCACCATCAGGCACTGCCCTATCTCAGGCCTCGCTACAGCCTCAGGTGTGGAGAGCGGTTTTTATAGTCGACTCAAAAGCAGACTCAAAAGCCGCCCTCGTCTCTCCCCCCCTTTCCCCCCCTAAACTCCCACGCCCTCCACGCACCACCATCAGGTACTGCCCTATCTCGGGCCTCGCTACAGCATCAGGGGTGGAGAGCGGTTCAGAGGGGTTGGCGGTGGTGGTGGGACAGACGCACAAGCAACCCATCCTGCCAGTCCCTGGGGAGGTGCGTTGTGTTGCTGTCACTACGACTTGCGTCCTGTTTTCATCTTCACTTGTAACTGCCACTTGTCACTGCCACTTGTCACTGCCACTTGTCATTGACACTTGTCACTGCCACTTGTCACTGCCACTTGTCACTGCCACTTGTCACTGCCACTTGTCACTGCCACTTGTCACTGCCACTTGTCACTGACACTTGTCACTGCCACTTGTCACTGCCACTTGTCACTGACACTTGTCACTGCCACTTGTCACTGCCACTTGTCACTGACACTTCTAACTGTCATTTGTAACTTTCACTTCACTTTTCATAAACAAGCAACCCACACTCTGCTGTCATGGTCACATCCACCATTCTCCAGTTCTTTGAGCGTCTGGTTTACCTCAATAATCGCCTCCCTTTTGCGACTGACTGTGAGCTGTGCTGTGCTGTGCGGTGCGGTAATGTGCGGTGCGGTGATGTGCGGTGCTCTATCATTCCTCCTGTTCTCCCCTTTTTTCCATAATTCTGCAGGTTTTTGCTCTTCGCAAGCTGCTTCCCACCACCATTGCCTATGACTTCAATATTCATGTAAGGGTTGCTTCGTACAGCAATTTTTGCTTGGTCTTGTCTTTTGTTTTTTGCCTATTAATGCCGACGAAACCCATGTTTGTGCAATGTTTCTGTAGTTCTCCCTTTTTCTTGACGTTTCCTCTTCTTTTTTTCTTGTAAGCATGAACGTTTGTGCCAATTGCGCTGAACACTCCCTGTACTCTCTACAGATCATGGATTTTGAACCTGGGGAATTCCTTAATGCGAAGGTGAGTGTAGCTGGTTTAGGTATTAAATGCCAATATACTGTGTAATATCCTCAGGGTCTTATTTTGGCCAGTCACCCCGTTCCCCTGTAGTTGCTTACATGAGCATGTTCCGTTTGAGTCTAGATCAGAATTCGCATCGATATGTGAGTCAACTCAAGAATATGCAGTTGCTTAGGATCAACGTGGATTTTGCCTATAACTTGATTTCTCTCAATTCTCCCTCCCTCCCTCCCTCCCTCCCTCCCTCCCTCCCTCCCTCCCTCCCTCCCTCCCTCCCTCCCTCCCTCCCTCCCTCCCTCCCTCCCTCCCTCCCTCCCTCCCTCCCTCCCTCCCTCCCTCCCTCCTTCCCCAACTCAGGAGGTGCATTACAATCAGAACGGACTCCCGCTGCTAGAAGGGCAGGTGATTCATCTCCTTTCACAGACCACGACCCTTCCTTGCCTGCCTTGCATGAATCTACCCTTCCTCCACCCTTTTCCTACACCCCCCGTCAGGAGGTGCATTACAATCAGCACGGACTGCTGCTGCTGGAAGGGCGGGGAATATACCGCTTGGCTGATAGCTGGTGAGGCAATAGCTGATTACGGCAATAGCTGATTACGGCAATAGCTAATTACGACAATGGCTGGGTTAGGCAATAGCTGGTTAATTCGATAGCTGGTTAAGGCAATAGCTGGTTAATTCAATAGCTGGTTAAGGCAATAGCTGGTTAATTCAATAGCTGGTTAAGGCAATAGCTGGTTAAGGCAATAGCTGGTGAAGGCAATAGCTGGTTAATTCAATAGCTGGTTAAGGCAATAGCTGGTTAATTCAATAGCTGGTTAATGCAATAGCTGGTTAAAGTAATAGCTGGTAAGGCAATAGCTGGTTACGGCCATAGCTGGTTACGGCAATAGCTGGCTACGACAATAGCTGGTTAAGGCAATAGCTGGTGAAGGCAATAGGTGGTTACGACAATAGCTGGTTAAGGCAATAGCTGGTTAAGGCAATAGCTGGTTACGGCAATAGCTGGCTACGACAATAGCTGGTTAAGGCAATAGCTGGTGAAGGCAATAGGTGGTTACGACAATAGCTGGTCACGACAATAGCTGGTTAAGGCAATAGCTGGTTAAGGCAATGGCCGGTAAGGCAGTGGCCGGTAAGGCAATAGCTGATTAAGCATGACAATCGGACACTTTTTGACTCTGTATCTGCAGGTATCCCGTCCAAGCAGGCGACGCCATTTGGATGGCCCCTTTTGTTCCCCAATGGTGAGATAACCTTACCATATTATGCACATTCAAGTAATCTCACTAACACACATACGCCCTAGGAATCATGGGTGGTGACGGGCCATTCATCGTCCTTTTCTAGTGAAAACATTGCCTGATTTCTTTTTTCCCTTCGTTTCTAATGCTCTTGCTGTATCTCAGTTGTGATGATAATTGCTCGTGGTTCCTTGACCTCCGTTGTTTTCTCATCGCACATGTTTCTCAACGTCCGTCTTCCACTCACTGATGTTTTCTCATTTCCGTGTTGCGCCATGCAGGTATGCAGCACTCGGCAAGACCCGGTCACGATATCTCCTTTACAAGGACGTCAACCGCGACCCGCTGCTCCATCCGTCTTGTTGATATGCTTCTGACATGGTATAGCCATCGCTTCTACCGGTATTACGAGTTAGGAAACAGACTGAGCAGAATGAATATAAGCTCTGAGTACGGTAAAGGTAATGTGACTGATGAATAAACTGAGTACAAGCTAAGCCCTAGGAAATAGTATTGGGGTCATCATAGCCAGGTAGGAACATCTGGAAAACAAGGTTGGGTGGGTAACTAAAAAGTCATGGACGATGGTGTGAAATGTCCGAAGGTGTAACCTTTTACATTGAGCTTCTACCGTACCATTTATTCGAGAAATCACACTGAGCTTCTATGTTTAAGAGTTTGAGATCTACGCAATCAAGTGCAATGATAGTAAGGAACACTACTACAAAAAGAGTACCTAGTCACACCTATCAACTGCTATCATGCACATTATTTTGCACATAAGGATATATGTAAGTGAATAATCTGCCTGGGTTTCTTCTAGTATTTTGTAGCTATTTGTTACGGGTGCAATGAATCGAGGTAGCCAGGATTGCACTAAGTGTCAAACGAGTACAAAATGTGAGCGAAGGCATGAGCGAACATTTATACGCGAAACATGCAAACGGTAATGCGGTGCGTGCGAGCTAGCTAGTGCTAGGCTGGCATCAAGGCTCGGGCTAGTCCCGAAGCGTAGGCCGACATGGCCGGGCCAGTGGTGCATGGTTTGGTGAAACAGTGCGCGCGAAGTCGGCGAAGCCCCGTTAGCAGTAACGGGTGAACAACGGCTGCTGCTGTACGCGATGTTGCAGGATGCGCTAAGGAATGTCGAGAAAATTCCTTACACTACCCCCCCCCTCAAGAAGCCCCCTCCGCTACGCGAGTGCGTGTATATCGCGGAAACCCCGGCTCCTCGGGTACACTTGCAGGGCAGGGTGGTTTTCGATGTTGGCCAGGGGCACCCAGCTATCCTCAGTTGGCGTGCGGTCCTTCCAGCGAACGAGGAATTCAATCCTCCTGATTCCCGTAGGGTGTCGAATCCGATGGCTCATATTTTTTTCGGGCTCGATGATCGGCTCCGATGCAGGGCGAGTCATGTTTGGCGGGCGGTGACGAAGCAGTTGGCTCGTGGTTGGGATGTAAGGGCGAAGCAGGCTGACGTGGAATGATGGGCTGATGTACCAGTCTGTCGGCAACAGTAAGTGTGTTGTCACGGGGGTGATCATGTGGCTGATTTGGAATGGTCAACAGTAGCGCGGTCGTAATTTCGGCACGACGGGCAGTCTTAAGTTTTGTGTGTCGAGCAGTATGTAATCTCCTGACTGGTACGTGACGGGGCGGCGGTGGCGGTCAGCGTTGCGCTTAGCGATGACATTTGCCTTTTTAATTGCTTCGGCAGCTCTAGTGCGGGCAACTTGCAGAATCTCGGCGAATTGCTGTGCACGTGGCGTTGGGTTGTCCGGACTCGGCATCATGGGCACTGTAGGGTTTTGACCGTAGTTCAGGTAGAACGGGGACTGCTGCGTCGTCGCTGACGTGGCGTTGTTGTAGGCGAACTCGATCAGCGGCAGCTGCTGCTCCCAAGTTGTCGGGTCGTCACATGTGGCCCGAATCAACTGCTCCATCGTCTGGTTGGTCCGCTCCGTTTGACCGTCGGTCTCGGGGTGGTACGATGAACTGAACTGTAGCCTGGTCCCGAACTGCTCCCAAAGGTTCTTCCAGAAGTTGCTTGTGAACTTCGTGTCGCGGTCGCTGATTATCGCGGCTGGTATCCCATGCAGTCGAACGACGGCTGCGATGAACAGGCGAGCGGTTTCTTCGGCGGAGATCGATTTCTTGCACGCAACGAAGTGTGCCATCTTCGTCAACCTGTCAACGACGACCATAACTGCGTCGTTGCCCCCAGGGTTCGAAGGTAACCCCGTGACGAAATCCATGGTAACCTGCTGCCAGGCGCGCTCGGGCGGTGGAATCGGCTGCAGTTGACCCGCTTTTTTTTTTCGCGAGCTCTTCATCACCTGACACGTAGGACACGAGCCCACGTGGTGCTGTACGTGGGTCAACAGCTCCGGCCAGTAGTAATACCGCTGTAGTTGCTGTCTCGTTTTTTCTACCCCAAAATGTCCCGAGGTAAATCCGTCGTGTGCCTCCTGCAGTAGCAGTTCCCTCAGTAGTGAGTACGCGGGTACCCAGATGCGGTTGGTGCCTGATTTTACGTAATAAACTCCTTTAGCTTCTGCCAGTTGCTGTGAATTTCCGGTCGTGAAAAATGGGTCGGTACTGTATCCGTGGGTGAATAGGCCTGTTAACAGTGGGTTGGTTTGGGCGAGTAGGATGGCGTGGAGTTGGGCGGTGGGACGTGTGAGTGCGTCGGCGATGTTGGATGCGCCTTTTTTGTACGTGACCGTGTAGTGGAAATTGGAATACAGATAGTCCAACCAGCGGATCTGTCACGGATTGAGACAGTTGGGCGCGAAGGTACTGTAGTGATCGGTGGTCTGTCCGTACTGTCACGTCTGCTCCCGTGAGGTAACATCGCCACACATTGAACGCGTGCACGATCGCCAGCATCTCGCGGTCGTGTATCGGGTAGTTGCATTCGGGCGGGTGAAGCTTGTGGGACTCGTACGCGATTGGCTGGAGGCCGTTCCCGAAGTCCTGCAACAGTACTTCTCCCACAGCGATGTCGCTAGCGTCGGTGACGAGCTCGAACGGACGGTGCGGATCTACGATGTGAAGCACGGGCGGCGAGCACAAAATTGTTTTGAGGGCCGAGAAGGCAGCTTGCTCTTTCTCCCCCCACGTGTACTCAGCCCCCTTCCTCAGCAGGTCGGTCAACGGGGCAGTCAACTTCGCCATGTCGGGGACGAACCGGCGCACGTAGTTGACGAACCCCAAAAAGCTCTACAACCCAGTCAAGTTTGTCGGCGCGTGCCACACTTGAATCGTCGCGATCTTCTTCGGGTCTATTTCCACTCCTTCAGCTAAAATAATGTGTCCCAAAAACTCCAGTCTGTCCTGTAAAAACTCACACTTAGACGCTTTGGTCAGTAGGCGGTTTTCACTCAGTATTTTAAATACTGCTTCGATGTCCTGTAAGTGCTGTGCTCTGTCTGGGCTGTAAATCAGTATGTCGTCAAGGTACACGATGACGCACTTATCTAAAAGCGGGCGGAAGGCTTCGTTCATCGTCATTTGGAAAGTGGCGGGGGCGTTGGTCAGTCCGAAGGGCATGACTGTGTATTCGAAGGATCCGTAGCGTGTTCGGAAGGCTGTTTTCGGGCAGTCGGGTGGGTTGACTCGGATCTGGTGGTAGCCTCCTCGAAGGTCGATTTTTGAGAAAACCCCGGTTGTTCGTAGTTGGTCGATCAGTTCGTCGGCTCGTGGGATGGGGTAACGGGATTTGATGGTAACCCTGTTCAGTGCTCTGTAGTCTATGCACATGCGAAACCCCCCGTCCTTTTTCGGTGTGAACAGTATCGGTGCTGCGAAGGGTGACGAACTCGGGTGAATGAACTCCTTCTCGAGCAGGTAATCCAGCTGCTTCCTCAGTTCGTCCAGTTCGGGTTGGGTCAGTCGGAATTGTCGCTGTACTATCGGCTGTGCCCCCGGTTCTAACTCTATCCTGTGGTCGTGCGGTCGCTGAGGTGGCAGTCCCGTCGGCAGGTCATCCGGAAATATCCCACTGTACGGCTTCAGGAGTGCTGCCAAGTCATCCGGTACGTCGGCTAGCAGTTTCTGTAAACCCCCCCCTTTGTCTACTGCCTCGGCTTCCCGAATGTCAACCGCGTACACGTCAGCTCCTGCTGCTACGGCGCGTTTCATCGTGATCGCGTTGACACGCACCGACGAAGACTCAGGCGAACCCCAGCGAGGTAAGGCAATGTTGTTACCGTTCACTCGCACGGTGCAGTCACCCGTCGTCCAGTCGATTCGCGGATTGTGTCGTCGCATCCAATCACGACCGAGTAAAATGTCGGTTCCGTCGAGGGTTGTTGCGAGCATTTCCTGACTAAACGTGAAGTTACCCCCGCATCAAATCCGAACCCGGTCCACGCGTTCCCGTATCGCCAGCGGCGTGCCGTCAACCAGTCTTGCGTCGATCTCAGGTAAACATCTATCCAGTGGCAGTCTGAGTTTCCGTGCTGTGGCGGTGTTAATCAGACTGTGGCTGGCTCCCCAAGTCTGTCCTAATTTTCCCACTAAGCAGTATGGGGCTGTCTACCGTAGTACCCTCCTTATCCGGCCGGGTGTGGTCGATTGCGTGAACCGGCACAATCACTCGGTGAGGGTCGGTTGGGTCGGGCGAGCGGCGTGACCTGTCAGAAGAGGGCCCGTCTGCTACTAACTCCCAGCGTTTCCCTGCTGCTTGGTCTGTTTCTGCTGCTCTGTTTCCCCCTTTCCCATAGCGTTTTCCGGGCATTCGCTCTTACGGTGTCCCCGCCGATTGCACGCGAAGCAACGCCCTTTGATGGCAGCGGCATTCGCGGCAACGGCACGTATCGTAGCGCCCTCGTTCGTCCCACGAGATCGATGTCCCCAGTTACTGCTACTTCCGTAGGACCCCGGTCTCGGTCGGCGGAAAAAATCAAGCTTCTCCGCCGTAGCGAGAATCTCTTGAAAATCGGTGACGCCGCGAAGCTGGATTTCCTGAGCGATGTCGTGCTTCAGGCCGCCGATGTAGCGGTCGATGCGTTCGCTCTCGTGCATATAACCCACTTGCTCGCATAGCGCCAGCAACCCGCTGGTGTAGTCCTGGACGAAACCGAGTTGGCGCCAAGTGCAGAGCTTCTGATGCGCCGCGATCGAAGCCGCCATTGGCTCAAATCGAGCGCACAGACCTGCGCACCACGCGTCCCACGTGCGATATTGGGGCACCTCCACGAAATACGACGGCGCCCAGGGTCCGGTTTGTCCTTCCCGTGTTGGTAGAGTCGCGTAGTCCATCGGCTTCGTGACGATGACGCGCCACCAGTCCATGGCGGGTCCTCGCAGCAGCGACACGGCGTAGAAAAATACGTTCATCGTGAACAACCACGCCTGAACGG